CCGTCGCCAACTGTCGCTTTCTCCATCGTGAGTGAGCTTGGTCAATCATCAGCCTCTCCCATCAGCCCGGTCATGTCATGTGGCACGCCACGCTCAGTCAACCTTAAGGCCCCGTTTGACCTGGCATAATCTTTGCGCCGTCAGGCTGCCATGTTTGGCTTAAACACATCACGGGACGGCAAGAAACGCACACAAATCAAAAATGAAAAACTTCTTATTGTACAGGTCGTTGTGGTGGGGGGTGGTGGGGTAAGTGTGCGTTGAGAGTATATTAGCTGATACAGCTGATTTTTTGTTCTTTTTTTTCGTGGCATGCAAATCGCGCGTGTGGTGTGGTGCCCCTTGCCACATAGCCATTTGAATGTATTTTTTCGGCTTGGCCAAATGTCTGTTACGTCCTCCTGATGGTCACGCAAGAGGGTGGGCCAAAGTGGGCCAAAGGAAAGCTGGTGTGCTTGTGTCACATTTTTGATACTTTTTTGATAGCTAATGGAGTACAGTATTTGCACACCATTTTTACAACATTTTTTACTGAAATTCTAGGATTTGGCATTCGTCTCTCTGCTAGAAATCAAATTACTCAGTGCAGTCTGTGTACTTCAATGGTACATCCACTGAATGTGCTCGTGTGTTCATATTTTGACTGGCTCTCACTGCTCATTTCAGTGTTATTTCTAGGGGGGAATTGAATATGTACTCGCCCGTACCAAAACCTTGGTAATCATCATCAGCATCATCACATGTGTGTGGCTGTCTAGACCTGATAATCATTATCAGCCCCATCTCTGAACTGGGGCCCAGCCCCGCCCCGAACCAAACTGCGTCCTTTCCCATCTCCGTACCTCTGCCATATATGTAGATCCTTTTGTCTGTTTTTTTTTTTCGGCTTCGTTTTTGGGTCAAGCACTGAACATTAGCATAAAACAAACATCTAAAGGCGCTCCAGGAATTGGCTGTGGGGGAAATGGCACTTACATGGCGCTTTTGTTGGATATTGTGCCACGAAATTGGTTAATTAGCCGCAGGTGGGGCTGCTCGCACTCTCCCGTCCCTTTCGAATCCCACTCCCATCATTATCGTTTCCCAGCATTTTTCATTTCCCTACCGCCTTGGTTGAAATTTAATTTGATTTCATTGTGTGTGATCTCTTTTCTAACTTTTTCTTTTGGTTTTGTTGTTGGATGTTGGATGCCATCTTTTCTTTTGGGGCACAGGCCGACCTTGGCCATAATAAGTACGCATAAATATGTCAAGTGCCAAAAGTGCGAATGGAGTGGCTCACAATAGGCGGTCCCCATTGGGTCTGCTGTGCCGTTGGCCATAAAACGCAATAAACGTTTATGTTTATGATTATAATTGGGGTTGTATTTTTTTCTCTCTTCAGTGCGCTGTGTGTCAGCAGTTCCTTCAGTGTGCGTTTGGAATATCGTGTCAGGATATCCAACTGTTTCTGTCACAGCCACTAGCTGAGATTTAAATGGTTGCCAGATATATTTGGGCTTGTCCGATTTGAACTAACTTAATCACATATGCATCTAAAGAGACATTTTTGCAACCTTTCATGCCACCAATAAAACATAATAAAAGCACTAAAATATTTTGGATAAAACCGGAAGCTGTAAATATCCTTAAGATTTGTATAAGAAATATCCTTAAAAAAAAACGTCTAATATCATTTAACCATTCCTGGGAAATTCCACGCCCCCACACCAATTATAATTGGACATGGATAGGCAACCATTAAATCATTTAACAATTGTTTAGCCATTAGATTTTACAAAGAGATCTATTGGGTATGGAGCCCTCAAACCATTCGTTTTTATTACCCTGCCGAAAAACACTCAATAAATAATCAAAACTTTATGAACTGACAGCGATTTATTCAACGGCAGCAAGAGCAACAAGCACCGGGAATTATGTCTAATTTGCTATGAAATCATAAACTCATAAAATCAACAAACCAAAGTTCGGGGAGATGCCGCAGATGCTGACGCAGCGGATGATGCCCACCCGCGGTTTTAACCGCGCGCGACAGAAACGCACCGATTTGGAAAATCTTAAAAAGTGTTTTCGCCCCCCCCTGTCGCCATTCTGGCTCTGCCCTTTCCCATGAACAAAAATCTACAGCAGGGCAGGCCTTTAGACTATTTACAAGTGAGGGGTGGCGGGTAGGATAGTATGTAATAATCAAGGGAAAGGGAGCGGGAAAGTGAAACAATATTTAAGGTTACAAGGTTAAGGAAATCAGTTCGTGGAGCGCCCATCTGACGCCAAGCCGGTTTGGTCATTTTCACATTCGCACGACACTGCCCATTTGCCCGACTTCCGCAAGTTTTTTTCTTCGCTCTCTTCCTCTCTCTCTCTGGGTAAGGTTTCTTGTACGCCCCGGATATAATTTTCAATAAATAATATCAATTTATATTTATTATGTACGAGTATAGGAATGGAGAATTTATTTTTTTTTTTTTTGATTGCCTTTTTGCCTCTGAGGGCCCTGCCTTCAAAGTAATTTTCATAAATATAGAATTTTGGTGTAATATTTATTATTTATTGTTATTTGTTCAAGTTTGTCGAGTATACGACACCCCTTCTGCATAACTCATTAAAATATTCCACAGCATGTGAGTGAGCCGAACAGATCATACAGGAGACTCTACCATTTTCTGCTCTTGCTAACTAGATCATGAGATTGAAAACCAAATCAATTTCAGCATGCTTGTTTTACGAACTAACAAAATATTATGTATACGCACCATGAGAAAATATCCTGAAATATGAAAATATACGAAATATACGAAAATTTTGGCTCTCCCTTTTTTTACTGCTCACCCTACCAGAATAGTTACGCATGTATGTATGTATGTATTGTATGTGTGTATATGGCATAGAATCAATCTGTGACCTTCTGCTCTCGGCTTTTGGGGCCACTCTGCCACTCTGTCTGTGGCTTGTTTACTGACCGTAGCCTGCTTTTGGACGCTCGCAGCGGAAATGAATTATCACCCGCTAAATGGGAGCGAACATCATTATTATTATGGCAGCACCAGCAGCAAAAGCATTTTTTTAGCTGGGATTTTGTTTTGTTTTGTTTTTGTTGTTCTTCCTTTATTTATTGTAAGTAAGAAAAATGGCCCTGCAAATAGGATGTTTTATTAAAAACGCGGGAGCGGCTCAGAAGAGTGGGATTACTGGACATGTTGCTGCATCTGTTTGCTGCTACTGTCAATCTTGCTTAGGTCAAGCCCCGGTTGTCAGTACTGCCACCCAAAGCCAGCCCAGATGTCCAGGTGGTGCGGCTGGTGAAGGGGAAGGGGGGTCATTCCATTATTCCATTATTTCCATATGCCGTGCGTTAATTGCCGTACATGCTGGCGGCCCTAAAGGCTCAGAGGTGGGGCGGCAACTCTGCGCTGCGTGAGATTTATGGGGCGACAATGTGACAAGCGCTTAAAGTTCTCCTTTTTGCATGGCATTATAAGGCAGGGAGTCACTTTAGTAAACTGTGATTTTGTGGCCAGGATTTTGTATGGGGAAAACAGGACGTTAATCATAAATTTCAATTAAATGTATGTTGGCAGGTTGAGCAACTGTTTTCGTTTTGAAACTTTAGTCACAGCACTCACATGACCGATCATTGTTTGGGGCAGCCTCATAAACCATTCAGTGTTGATGCCCGGCACTCATACCCCTTCCCACCCCATTCTGCAGCGGGCAAAACCCATCTCTTTGCAGGGCTAACCCTTGCACATCTCAGGGGATCTCACACCCGAAGGCCGCCGCAGCCTGTCGTGCTTGGACGCCTGACTCAAAAAGAAGAGCGGTGAAAAGGAGGGGAGATAGCCCAATGTCTGTCCAATAATAATTATAATTTATGCGCAAGCACAGCACAGCAAATAAAGCCACAGACATAGGACATAGGACATAAGCTTTAAAGGCAAATAAAAATAAAATTGTGAAAGGAACTGTAAAGGAAACTCTGGCTGTTACTGTACGTTTAACTGTAATTTAACGCTTGTCTGCTGTGCTATTTTTGCTACCAAATTATAGATCTGTCGCCCCGTCTCTCACTTGTTAGTTATCACAGTGTGCGCGCATCTACATGCATACAAACACTCAAATTGAAGTGGGACAAGTTGTCGCCGTCAATGTTTTCGGACAGCAGTGTGGGTGGGGGAGTGGGGAGAGTGGGGAAAAGTAGTCAGACAGTCAGATGGGAACAAAACTAATTAGGGAAATGCCCAACTGCAGTGAGTGGAAACTGCAACTGCAAATGTCAAAAGCCAAAAGAAAAAGTTTCATTCAATTAATCAAAAAGGGTCGAAAATACTCGTACTCATAGGAATTTAACTCAACGAATATTCCAGAGCATCTTTGACTTTGGCTTGGACTTGGACTTCGACTATGTTCCATGTATGTATATCAATGTCAAAAGCGTGGGAAAGGGTTAAGGGGCAGCCACTCAAGGGTGCCGTGCCCATATATCTTCCATCACATGTTCTCGATGCTGTGTGTGAGAATGAAAAATCGTCTGATACATTTCAATTGAATATTCACTTTTGTTGTTTGTTTTGTTTTTGTTGTTTGTTTTTTTTTTCGGTTTTTTGCGAACGCTGTTGCTTCGTCGATTTGCTGTTAAAAATAAAACTCGAAATCGATTTGTTAAAACTATTTTTATAGCAAAAACAGCAAAAAAAAAAAAGACAAAGAGCAGCGTAGTGTACACTATGCCTTAAAGTTAAACAAATTTATTGTGATGATGTGCGAGAAATTGAATGAAGATTTGATTTCTTTTCATTCCCATATCGTTCTCTTTTCGCACATAAGATGTGAAACATCAAAAAAAAAAATAAAATAAAAGGCAAATGAAAAATATTTGGGAATTTATTGTGAATGGGGCAAACATTTCTTTTATATTAGAAATAATTGGTTTTTGGGGGATTGTGGGGTTGAAGGTCAAAGGTTGAAGAAGAAGTTTCATTTGTGGCTTGTATTCTTTTTAGATATTTCGCCACTTGGAGCGTCCGGCTGAAGTGCAACGTCTAACCCACTTGAAGGATGTGGTGAAGACCCACAGAGAGCGCTTCATGAGCACCATACTGAACAACACCGAAGTGAACAATCTCAACGAGCTGTTGTCCTTTGAGCTGGCCAAATATGAAGCGGTTAGCATATGAATTTAACTAAGCTAATTGATTGCTTTGATTGCTTTGATTCCCCTTATTTCGATGTTGTTATGGGTGGCGGCTGTACACAACAGGCTGTACAACAGGCGGCCGAAGGAGGGCTGCTGATAGTGGCCGATAAAGACTTTCCAGAGCCCTACGAGCGATGGAGCATACTGCAAGCTGTGTTCTTCTCATCGACTGTTTTAACCACCATAGGCAAGTCATTCATAGTCCATGGTCCAGTCCATGGTCCATCCAAGTTTAACCTCTTGCTGATCTTTTCAGGATATGGCAACATTGTGCCAGTGACGACCGGCGGACGTGTATTTTGCATTTGCTTTGCCCTCATCGGCATACCCTTTACGCTGACGGTGATAGCCGACTGGGGTCGACTCTTTGCCACCGCTGTCTCAGTGTTTGGCAAACACATGCCCAGTAAGTTAACCTAGAATGCCTCTACTCGGATAGTTGACTCAATTGGCTTCACTTTAGCCAAGCCAAAGTTTACGAATTTCATTGGAAAAACGTGGTTCTATGCCATACTGGCTGTTGGCTTTTTGGGCGTCTATCTGGCCGCCGGCGCTGGTCTTCTGCTGCTCTGGGAAGACGATTGGACATTCTTTGATGGCTTCTACTTCTGTTTCATTACCATGACGACCATTGGGTTCGGAGACCTGGTGCCAAGTGGGTCTAACAAGGAGGTACTTTAATTGGCTCTGTTCTGAGATCGGTTCTTGTCATTTTGCAGAGAAACCCAACTATATGCTGCTCTGCACTTTGTACATTCTCATTGGCCTGGCACTCACATCGACCATTATCGAGCTGGTGCGGCGTCAGTATGCCACCAGTTGGGCCAAGTTGCAGGTGAGCTGGCGGAGCAAGATTCCATTTTGTTTGCATTCTCAAGCCAATATTACATTTTTCATACTCGTATTTGCAGGAACTTTCCGGCCCCATGGCGGAGACTTTGCGTCGCTTGGGCGAGACAGCCGGCACGGGTCTGGACTATGCAGCCCTGCAAAAAGTTTTGACCGTAAGCGTATCCTCCCCCAAGCACTGCAATATTCCAGTACATTTTTGCCATCTCTTTTTTTCCGCCAGGTGTCCATGCCAAAGTGGAATAGCAAGAAGAACGATCATAGCCCGGATATAGCTGCTTTGGAGGCCATCACCAATGCCATACTAAAAGAGGTGAAGGAGGCACAGAACAACAAGCCCAAGGTCCTGCAAATTGTCATCTACGAGTCGTCTGTCTAGGCAGGAGCACAGGACAGCGACAGATATACAGCATAAGAGATGGTTAGAGACAGACAGAATGGGGAGATGGAGAGACGCGGAGAGAGAGAGAGAGAGAGAGAGAGCTTCCACCAATAATCGACAGCACACAGAAAAAATATCACAGAAAATATCACAGTTACGATTAGTTAGGCTGGAATTGAGTTGAGTTGAATTTGGGTGACAGTGGGCACTGGCTAAGAGGTTCCCGGCTACTGTACTGCCACTGCCAGACTTCCATAAGTTAATGTCTGTACATATAGCTATTATATAGTCAAATGTCTAGGCAATAATATTGCTCATACGTACTGAGGTGTCACAACATACTTGCATACATGCATAACTATTTATTTAAAGGGGCGGGCGTGGGGCAAGTGATTCAATATATAAATAAATACATATACATACATATGTACATATGTATGTGCATACATAGCTATAAATAATACATACGTTTTTTTTTTTTGTAATTTTAACCATTAAATTAAGCTATTAATAATAATAAATTAATAGTACGATGCATAAATGTCATCCATAAAATAAACAAACAGAAAATCCTGCAAAAATTTGGAATTTTGTTTGAATTTAAATGAACAGATGAAACACTCTTTTTATAAATTTAAAACTAATTTCATCTGCTGAATATAAAAAGAGATATTTTATTATATTATTACTCGTAATTATCGTGGAATATGCAGCGTATCCAGAACTGTTATGACACATCTAATAGCCAAGCAGGAAATAATACTTACCATAGATTTAATGCTTATAGTATTTTGTTGCATTTTGTTTAGCTGTGGCTGTTTCGATTCCTGCAGCATAAGAACCAAGAAACTTTATTGCAGCGTTCACAATGGAAAGCTCTCAAAAAGCTGCGGGACGCTTTCAAGTCGAACTTTCAGTTGAGGCAAAGCCCATCCACGCCACAAGAGAGTGAATATTGCCCGCTGTATTTGAATAGCTGGGGGCCAGGCAGTCGAACTCGTGGCGGTGCTGCACATCATCTGATCCAATCCAAGCCAATCCCCCCCAACCGAACCGAACCGATCTCATCGCTCCTCGTTGTCGTTGTCGTTGTCGTTGTCACACTGCTGCTGTGTGTGCTGTGTGCTGTGTGTTTGATTTGTGTTGGACTGTGCACATTGTTGGCTATAAAAGTCGTTCGCACTGTCGGCGGTCGCTAGTCCCCCGCTAGTGAGGGCCCGAGAAGTGTGCGACGTCGGTTTATCATTTGTGATTTGTGATTTATATCTTTTTGCTACCCCTACTGTCATTGTGTGGGCTGATTTTTTTTTGCTCTTACTTTTGTTTTTGTTTTTGTTTTGTGAAGTGGCAGTCTCTGCCATTTGGGGGCGCATCGGTCAGTTGTACGCTGGACGAGCAGCGACAAACATCCGGTTACCGGGCAACCCGATCAGTCCATCCGGCAGAGAGCCGCCGCCACGTCCATCAATCGAGTCGCGCATGGAGAACTTCTAAGGCTCCCAGACTCCGTCTCGTGGTGTGAGAGTTTGGTTGTGTTCTTATTTGCGTTAAGTTTTTGTTTTTGTTTTTGTTGATTAGTGTTCAAGTGGGAAAACCGAGAAGAAAAACTGAAACTCAAACTGAAACTGAAACTCAAACTGAAACTGATTTGAATACTCGCCAAAAAGTATGGAAGTGCTGAAGAAAGACGCCGCCATGGGCTCGCCGAGCAGCGTCTTCTATTTCCTGCTGCTGCCCACCTTGGTACTGTGGTACATCTACTGGCGCCTGTCCCGTGCCCATCTGTACAGGCTGGCAGGACGATTGCCGGGACCGCGTGGCCTACCCATTGTGGGTCATCTGTTCGATGTGATTGGACCCGCCTCATGTACGTTCCGATCGATTTGGATTTTTCTGCGATGCTCAATCTGAGATTTTGTCCCTTTGCCTTTGCCTTTGCCTTTCCCTTGCTTGCAGCTGTTTTCAAAACAGTCATCCGGAAGAGCGCCCCCTTTGAGCATATTGCCAAAATGTGGATCGGTCCCAAGCTGGTGGTCTTCATCTACGATCCACGCGATGTGGAGCTGCTGCTCAGCAGCCATGTGTACATTGACAAGGCATCCGAGTATAAGTTCTTCAAGCCCTGGCTGGGCGATGGCCTGCTGATTAGCACAGGTGAGTGGCGGGGCCGGGCCGGGCCGGGGTATGGAGTGGCAGCCACTTGTGCAGCTTAAATTAGCTTAAATCTAAATTAAACCATCATAAATTAATTAAACGATTTGTAAGCCTGACAGTTGGCACAACAATGCCTCAGCAAATTGCGTCTATAAATAAAATCAACGCCACCAGCAGCTGGCGGGGCTGCCATCCTTGTATTGCCATCTCACTCTGTCTGTGGATCTCTTTGACAGGTCAAAAATGGCGTTCGCATCGTAAACTAATCGCACCCACATTCCATTTGAATGTCTTGAAGAGTTTCATCGAGCTGTTCAACGAGAACTCTCGCAATGTGGTGCGGAAGCTGCGTGCGGAGGATGGACGCACATTTGATTGTCATGATTACATGAGTGAGGCGACTGTGGAGATTCTATTGGGTAAGCAAAGCCAGCAACAACACTGACATGTGATTACACAAAAGTACAGTCAACTCACACGCACACGCACACGCACAAGCACTCATACTCGATTCAGTTTCAAACACATTTAATTCCCAGCCTCATTCTAAATACAGTCCATATGCGTGTATTCAAGTCACATGTATGCACATATTTATTTGATATATGTATGTATGTTTGTATGTACAGCATCTGTACTATATGCCACAAGCCACAAGCCACAATTGAGCGCAGACCCATTTCCCTATATACCCGTACTCCTACAGCTCGCAAATCACAAATCACAAATTTCCCTTTGTTGTCCATTTGTTGTCCGCCTTTGTCAGTCTGCACAATGGACATAAAGGAAATATACACATAATCGTACGTATATTCGCCCATACAGGTGTACCTAATCCAACTCAAAGCATAACCAAATTATAACAGATTATAATTTTATAACTAAACGGCTGAGAGCCTGGCAGGCCTCGCACCCCAGGACCCTCAGCAGATCTGCCAAACTGCAATGAACTGTCCCCATTTCATTCTCTTAGTTTCAGTAAATTTGTACCATTTTCTGTGTGCAAATACTAGGGACTTCGCCTTAGCGCCTGCGATCAAATTGTAGAATAAAATTTTATTTTATTTTATTTATTTATTTTATTTTATTCCCAAAAGAACAAATTAGCACGGCAAACAGGGGAATCATGGGGAATAGATTTTGGCATATTAACCCCAATGGGTAGACAAAGGCGATGGATAAAGCCTTTGCCTCCACTCAAACGAAGTTAGCCACTTTTTATCAGAAAATCATTAAATTATATTGCCAGGCAATAGACTTAACGCCAGACACGTTCCATGGGTGGAAAACGAAAAAGTGAAACTGCCACCCAGAGTGGGACAATTGGCCTGCTGCCTGCTGCCCGCTGCCCGCTACTGTATGCAGCCCAGATACACGGCCAAATGTTAATGACATTGTCGCTTTATTAGCTGCAAAAACTGCAACCGATTTCGGATTGATTTCTATGCCATTGCATAATTGAGTCACAGCGCCAGTACCTTCGCCCCATCAATTGAATCGCAGCCAAAAACCCAAGCCCAAGCCGACAATAAACACAGAGAGAGAGAGAGAGAGGGAGAGCTCAGTGGAGGACTGAGCTGGGCGGAGCAATTAAAGGCACGTCGCATTGCCATTAAGCGGCTTAATCAGGAAAATTTGAATGCAACTGCGGCCCGGTCCGGCCTGGTCTGCGATATGCCCGTTGAGTCCGAGTCTGAGTCGGAGGTTGAGGTTGTTGGGTCCCGTTACCGTTGACAATAATGATGGGGTCTGACGCAAACGGACAATTAGCAATTAAGACTTGAACAACAACAAAACAAATGATTTAAATGAAAAACTGGGGAAAATTTTTAATTTTTGAGAGATGCATAAAAATGGGTAAAATGGGAAATGAAAATCCACGGGCCATTGCATAATCCGTACTTTCCTCATCAGTGGAAACCATTAGCCACTGGGCCAAGTACAAATTATCGACACTGAAATGGCATTCAATGGGTACAATATCGAGTAGGAATATGGGATGGGAACCAAATAGGTTCGAATTGCCTACTCGAATTTCCCACAGTCCACCATGCTAGAGGAATGCTACACACTCGGCTGAACGGAGTCCGTCCATCTACTTGTGCATTGTATTTACAATTAACGATTAGAAAGCCGCGAGGGAAGTGGGAGGGGCTCAGCCTCAGCCTGAGCATCAGCTGCCTGTTGTATGATTGTTAAGTTCAATTGGCGCTTGGGTCAGTCGAGTGCATTCCACTACCCCCGTACGTTCAATGGACAGGAACTCAATGATACACCGATTCTGCTTCTAATTCCGTTTTCGATTTAAATTTGGCCCGTTCCAGAGACAGCCATGGGCGTGTCGAAGAAGACGCAGGACAAGTCCGGATTCGAGTATGCGATGGCTGTGATGCGAATGTGCGATATACTGCATGCCCGGCACCGCAGCATCTTTCTGCGCAACGAGTTCGTTTTCACACTGACGCGCTACTACAAGGAACAGGGCCGTCTGCTCAATATTATCCATGGCCTCACCACCAAGGTCATTCGGAGCAAGAAGGCGGCCTTCGAGCAGGGAACTCGCGGCTCGCTGGCGCAGTGTGAGCTCAAAGCGGCCGCCCTGGAGAGAGAACGGGGGGGACAGGAGCAGGCGGAACAGATGGGCTCTGGGGTATTGACGACTGCTGCTTGTGAGGGCACACCTGTGGCTGGGCTCTCGTATGGCCAGTCCGCGGGCCTCAAGGACGACCTAGATGTGGATGACAACGACATTGGGGAGAAGAAGCGTCTCGCCTTTCTCGACCTGATGCTGGAGAGCGCCCAGAACGGAGCCCTCATCACCGACACAGAGATCAAAGAGCAGGTGGACACGATTATGTTCGAGGGCCATGACACCACCGCAGCCGGCTCGTCCTTCTTCCTCTCACTGATGGGCATACACCAGGAGATCCAGGATCGCGTGATTGCCGAGCTGGACGGCATCTTCGGGGACTCGCAGCGCCCAGCCACATTCCAGGACACGCTCGAAATGAAATATCTGGAGCGCTGCCTGATGGAAACGCTGCGCATGTACCCCCCAGTGCCGCTGATCGCACGCGAGCTGCAGGAGGATCTGAAGCTGAACTCGGGCGACTATGTTATACCGCGTGGAGCCACTGTGACGGTGGCCACGGTTCTGTTGCATCGCAATCCCAATGTCTATACCAATCCCAATGTCTTCGATCCGGACAACTTTCTGCCCGAGCGTCAGGCCAATCGGCATTACTATGCCTTTGTCCCCTTTTCCGCGGGACCACGCAGCTGTGTGGGTAAGTACTCTACTGCATTGATTATAATATTATATATTATTATATAGACATACCGACACACATACATTCATGTAAACTCCAATTGAATTGGCGAAAAATTTAATTTAATTCCCAGCTTTTATTTTTATACCCGTACTCAAAAAAGAGTTAAGGGGTATATTAGATTTGTGGTAAAAGTGGATGTGTGTAACGCAGAGAAGGAAACGTTTCCGACCCCATAAAGTATATATATTATTGATCAGCATCAATAGCCGAGTCGATATAGCCATGTCTGTCTGTCCGTCCGTCCGTCCGTCCGTCCGTCTGTCTGTCCGTCTGTCCGTCTCGATGAGCGCCTAGATCTCAGAGACTATAAGAGCTAGGGCAACAAAATTTTGTTTCCACACTCATGTGATATCACACTGCTACAAGTGTATTTCAGAATTTCGGCCCGCCCCCTTCCGCCCCCACAAAGGACGAAAATCTGTGGCAGCCACAATTTTAAAGATACGATAAGACTAAAAACGCAGTATAGTAGAGAATGCCCATATCTACCAGATTGCCGAATCTGAATCAGATCGGATCATAATTATAGCCAGAATGAAGAAATTAATTTTCAGTTGCTTCCCCTCCCCCTCCTCCCACAAACGACAACGCAACTCATTTTCCTTCTCGCTCGCACACTCTGCCGCGTTCAGTGCGCGAGCAACCCCTAGCGGAGGAGATGTAGAATCTAAATGGTACATGTAGAATATACATGTTAGATATACATAGTATATGTAGATGTAGATAACAGATGTAGCAAAAAAATGTAAAATTTTTTTTTTTTTAAGTTCTAAATAATTATATGCTTAAAAATGTATATGCTGACTGAGTACGGGTATAAGTAGAGTCGCGTCCCAGAAGCGACTCACACGTTCCTTCTCGTTTAATTTTCCTGCATTACAAAATCCGCACTAATCTTGCTTCCAATTTCAATCATTTAGGGCGCAAGTATGCCATGCTCAAGCTGAAAATTCTACTCTCGACTATTTTGCGGAACTATCGCGTCTACTCGGACCTCAGTGAGTCGGACTTTAAGCTGCAGGCGGATATCATACTGAAGCGGGAAGAGGGTTTTCGAGTGCGTCTCCAGCCCAGATGATCACCACAAAATACAACTAAAAACTAAAAACAACTAAAAAAAAACAAAAAGGAATAAAACAAAAAACCAAACTTATCCATACAAATATATCTCTACTTTTGCGCAAGTGATAGTCGCCGGTTTATACAGTAATAATAATATTAAATAATAATAATAATAATAATAATATTAAATAATAAAATTGCTTCAACACTCGATTTATTGACAAAGTTTAGAATAATAATGATCTTTTTTTTGTTTTGTTTGTCGCATTTAAAGAGAACCCTGGAAACCACTACGAGTATCATCTCCATTTTAATATATATATTTATATATTTTTGGTTGGTGTATTTAATAATTATGCATAGCGACTTTTTGTGTAATGACTTTGACAATAAATCTTCGGTGTAATTATAATGTCATATCAGTCCATATAAGTATCATCGATTGTGCCACAAGCTAAGTTTGGAGCCCAATTAAATGAGACAAAGAGAGAGAGTCGTTAGGTTAAATGTTCCTTTGAGGGGTTTTCAGCAGACAGCTTTGCATGGCTAGCAGCTCCATGATCTGTTCAACTGACTAATCATTTCCCCAGAACATTCCAGAATGTCGAAACAGCCTGAAACATGGGACTAGATGGCAAAAAGTTGCTCGCTTTATTGTTACATTTCGTAAGGCATCTAGTCCCCTAAGTGCCAATGTCATCAGGAAAAACTCTACGTGCCAGAGTCAGAAATGATTGAGATTATTGTCAGTTAGTTGATTAGACCGTATCAAATTTTAAGTGCATAGCAGGAATTATTATTGTTCTGTAGTTTCTGTATTAGTTCCTTCGACTGGTTTTGCCACATGATGAAGATGCAATTAAATTGCCTGTTAGCAGCCCTGATCGCCGTGGTAAGTGACTCCAACCAGCCGACTCGTCACCACTCATTTTCGGTATATTGACAGTCACAACTGTCGAGTGGATATGCCAGAAGTTGTCGTAGCAAAGAGAAGATCCCAAACACCAGCGCCATCGAACGGATGGAGGAATTCACGATACCCCAGAGACTGGGAGGTCAGCCAGCCCAGAATTCCGCCACCATTGGCACGCTGGTGAACTCCACCGAGCTGCGATCAACCACCAGTGGACGAGGCTCCACCGCAGCGCAAAACACCACCGCCATGGCTAAGCCAGGCCAAAACACCACCGCCACTGCTGAGCTGGGCAACTGCACCACACTGGAAGCCAGCAGAGGTTCACGCGGACAGCCAGCCACAGCTGATGCGCAGCGCATCGTTCGCAAGAAGCGGGAAATGAAGGTAGAAACCGCCTACGACTTTCATACAACGCATTTGTTCTGCGATTTCGATGATCGTGGAAGACACCAGTGGATCTGGTTTATGCCCAATCATTGCATTTGGGTCTGGAATAACAAGTATTCGCATGAGGGATTCTATCGCCTCTTCAAAACCTATCAGATGGAGGGCTTCCATTATGGCCAGTGGTACGAATGTCAGACACGGCTTGAGCTTAAATGAGCCTAAATAAAATTAGTTATTGGTTGATGCCGAAACTCATGCCGAAGCCGATGAGTAGCTCTCTTTTTGCTCGCTACGAGACAGATTTATCTGTTGGTTAATGTGGGCTGGGAGGAGTGTGTTTGTGGGATTTGTTCTAGTGTTAATTCTTGCCACCGACTTGCCAACTATAAGCGATTCCGTGCAGATGCAGATCGAAGGGAAGCATCAAGCAATCAATGGAATGGAGCCACACAGCAGCTCGGCACAGTGTGCCTGATCACAGCAAATGTGTCGCGAGTGCCATTAATGCGATGCCATTTATTCCAGAGACAAAGTAGTAGTCCATGATGACAGGGCTCTACGTACTCGTATACGTTTCTGAGTTAGCTGTTTGTTTGTTCATTTATTTCACATGTAGCATTACTGAGATTTTCAGTAGCTTGGTACGGATTGTACGACTCGTCTGAGATTTCGCTCCGTTGTTTAGAGCGAATCAAATTTCCCGTGCTGTTGCAGGAATACACACGTATTAAATTGCCATCAGTTCTTTCGATTGTTTGTGCCGCACGATGAAGTGGCAAATAAATTGCCTGTTAGCAGCTCTGCTCGCTGTGGTAAGTGACTGTGACTCAACTCCACTCGGCCGTTATCGGCCTGACTAATTTTCGGTATATTGACAGTCACAACTGTCGAGTGGATATGCCAAAAGTGTTCCAAGCAAAGAGGAGACCCCCCAGGTGCAGACATTACAGACGCCGGCAAGTACCCAAAGTCAGCCAGCGCCAAATGCCGCCGCCATTGGTAGGCTGGTGAACTCCACCGAGCTGGGATCAACCACCAGTGGACTAGGTGGAGCAGCGCAGAACGCCACCGCCATGGTCAGCGCCACTGAGCTGGGATCAAGCCAGAGGGCAGAGGGTCGGGCAGCAACAACGGTTGCTGTGGTGAAGCACATCGTTCGCAAGAAGCGCACGGCCATGGAGGTAGATGCCCCCTACGACCTGCATACAACGCATATGTTCTGCGATTTTGATGAGCGCGGCAGACACCGCATTGTGCTGTTCTTCCCGAATCACTGCATCTGGGTCTGGAACAACAAGTACGCCCATGAGGGCTTCTATCATCTCTTCAAGCTCTATCAGACGGAGGCCTTCTTCTTTGGCCAGTACAACGAACGCTTGAAACAGTACGAGACCGTCGCCCATGTCTGGACCGCTGACTAGGAGGTGGCAGCAGGTGCCACCCAGCTGCTTGAGATTCCATTCAGCCTTCAAGTAAATGTTAAATTATCTGTGACTAATTGGCCTGATGGGTTGGCCTTGATGGGTGTTTTGTCCTGTGCTTCGACAAAATATCCAAACAGTGGGCTGATATATTTTTAATAAAACTCAATCATATTTAATGTGAGCGGTGTCTTGGGTTGGTAGGCAGGAGCAGCGGAATCGAACTGATTGCCACAACCACAGGTCAGCTGTATCCGATACCCTAAACTTATCCACATTCAACACTTACGTCGAATGTCCTAAGACGGACCACTTTTCGGACCAGTATTCAGAGTACCCCGCCACAAGTTGCCAATCCATAAACATGAGTATTCGTAAGCTCTCGAAGCTCTGCCGATGCTACATAATACACAAATATTGGCAGTAGGCTTCAGAATACTATATAGTATTTGCTGTTTCAGATTTAGGGTAACAACATAAAAGGCAACGTATTTTTATGGATAATTTAATATACATATAGTACGTCAGCTGATTCGTCATTGAGCAAAGTTGTGGTTCAGAAAACGCACCGCACATGGAGATGCTATTGAGCAGTGCCTTGGAAATGGTCCACATCCACATCCCAGAGCTACCAGTGAACAGTGTCTTGGAACAGGAAGTTGATGGAAAGAACAGTAGTAGTGTGAGCGAAGAGGTGCCCATCCCGGAGGTTCTGTCTCAATCCATCGAGACGCTGGACAATGGCATCGACACGATTCCGAGCACCAGCAATGGACTGGATCCAGAGATGGCATAGACGACTGCTACACCACCTGATGCCATTCCCTGGAAACTGGGAACTAGGAAAAGTCCAATTGCTTTTACGGGGGGAACTTTGTGCACTGCGAGAGGAGATCATCCGACGTTATTAAATGCTTAAGAGTGCAGACTTTATCTTCTTACCACAGTAAAAAGGTGCAGCGGCTGCTCGGCCAAACAAGCGCCGGATTGTCGATAGACAAGTCGGCCTATCAGCCACACGTTTCCAGTCCAGCATGAGGTAGGCCAGAGTGTCGCTGCAGCAGCTGCATTGCGTGCGAAGGGTGGCTGTGACTCGACTTTAGACTTCCCAAAGTCGCCCCTGGGGTAGGTTGAGGTTGATCTTTCGCAGCTTACTGGACTGCGACTGGGATCAGCTGGTTTAGATAGCAGACGTCCATCCCATCTCCGGACAGTCCATCGCTGGTACGCGGCTTCATGTCGATGCCATGTTCCAGCCTCTCAGTGGATTTAGATGGAATCTTCAGTATTGGGTTCCTCTTCCAGGGTACTACTACATATTTCCCCCATTCAATTAGAAAAGTAGTTTTGGTGCAAACGATTTGTACAAGTGTAGATTGGCTTTTTGTTAATGAAAAGTACTGAATGGGCACGAAAATGCTGACAGCAGCCCAGCCAACTATGTTCATAGTTTTTTTAAAATATGCTTCCTTTTCCAGTTCTTCTTGGATCTCTTTTCTTAGTTATATGGGGGAGCTTTTTCCAGGTAAACATTTGTCAGATTTTTATCAGAATTGGAAACCAACAGCACTCTTTAAGGGGCGTAGTACTGCGTTTTGGGCGGGCCTGGTCAGTCAGTGGCTTTTGTACCCAAGTTGATATGGCATGAGCCTCTCCGAATGAGCAGCAAAATGTTCATTTATATTTTTATTTACACATATGTATGTATGTATAGCATATTATTTGCTTTAGTAATACATGGAGCTTACGACTAGTCTGAATTGTTTTCACACGTATTTATACACATATAAAAACATAATGTTATATATGTACAGCTATATATTATATGTATTTATTAATTATATTCTACAGAAAATAGGTTTATTTCGGAACTCGAAACTCACAAATCTCAAAAAAGGAGCAGCAAACAAATTCATACATTCACAAGTACATACATGTACTGTATGTATGATATTTAATATATATGAATTTATGAATTTGTTTGCTGTCTAAGAAGGACTCTCATCAATCACACTGAAAAGTGGAATACCACAAGCCCGTTCACACGCACACAACCATGCACTGATCCGATTCGGCAGTTCCGCGAGAGCTGATCATCTTCCCACTTCACCACCCCCACACACACACAAACACACACAAACAAATGTCGGAAAAAATAAAGAGCAAACAAAAACTAGTGCATTAATAACACTAGTCAACACGACATTTAGGCTGTGGCCCAAAATGACTTTTTCTTATAGATTTCGGGGTTTTAAAAATTTTTAACGAATTATGGTTTTTTTTTGTATGGTTTAGTTTTTTTTTAAAGAATCTTAAAGTATCTTATATCTGGTTGCATAGAACTTTGCAGTTCTGAAAAGCTGACACATGCAGCTATAAATCCGACCCAGACACTTTGTATCTGCAGCTTAACGCCTGGAAGATATTAAGCTTTCAAATTTCATCATTATTTTCCGGTATTTTTTCCCATACTTTAAAAACTCGGAAAAGTCGAAAAAAAAATAATTCTTGGCATGCATTTTTTTATACGCATTATTGTTCATTATGCAAATATGCAACCAGATATAATATACTTAAGCTATATTCGAAAAATAGAAGCACTACATCTGAAAAAAACCATGAACAAAAATACCAGACTCTAAAAATTCTTAAAAAAAAAATTAAACCATAAAAATAAAAAAAATACTACAAAAATTTAAAAATCGCGAAATCTATCAGAAAAATTAATGGTTCACAGCGCAAAGAAAAAGTTCAATTTTGTTGAGTAGTGTAATAAGGAATAAATTTGTAGCACTAGGAATATTAAAATAAAATAAAAACAAACAAAATAATATTCATTCATACATGTATAATATATTTCTTGATATTTGTGAGTGGGGTAAAACGTATTATCCATAGAATATAATTAATACATACACATACATATTTATTTATATATATATAACATTATGTTTAAGCAACTTAAACATTGCGCATATTGTGTTTACATAACATAATGACATTCTGTGCTGCGAATGTCGTGATTTTTGCTCCTCCATTTCTTAACGTAAGTCCCCTTAAGAATAGATTTGTGTGTGTGTGTGTGTTTGTTTGCTTCTGTGTGTGTGTGTGCTTATCCGACTAGAGTCGCAACTTCCCCAATGCCTTTCAGCCCTTAATTTCCTTGGGGCAACTATACAGCTATTATACTTACAATTACCAAAAAAAATAAGAAGTAAAAACATGGGAGAGTGGGGTATGGGTATGGGATGGACATTTATATGTATGCATGGGATATGGAAGTGATTCTCGAAATACACCCGATTCGAAATCCGACGCCCTGGACAGGCCCATTAATTTATCAAAAGACAATTCAAATATTTTGCCAAACTTGAAACTGAGACAACAGAAACTTGAATAATTATCGAGAAGTTTTTCTTTTTACATCAACCGAAAATAAAATTTAGCCCACAAAGATAATTTATTCCTTATCAACTGGGAGGAAATGTAAATGTTTATTTTTGAGACCCAATTTAAAAAAAATTAAATAAAACAAAAATCGGAATCCGAAAGGAAATCGATAATTCATATCTAGCTATTAACAATAGAAAATAGAGAAAATTAATTAACAAACTTTCAGCTAAGAACAAAAAAAAACAAACACTCATGTGGGGGCCAATGCCGCTGTCGCCAATTCTTCAGTGAAGTGAGAAGAGGATCAGTGGGTTTGTGTGTGTGTGCGTGTGTGTGTGCGTGTGTGTGTTTGTGAATGTGTTTGAGAAATTCTATTTGTATGGTGTGATGAATTTTGAGTGTCCTTCTTAGACCCTCTTAAGAGTCTAATGCAGTCATGATGTCGTCCAGGGTTCCCCGGGAGATGGCATGTCGGCTGGAGCTCAGATTAAAGTCGGTCTCTGTGGCGAATAGAGGAAATCTTGGTTTAAGCCACGATCTGCTGAAGGGGGGGGGGATGGGGCATTTAACATGGGGGCCACAACTCACCCACTAGCTGACCAAGATCGTCGTCCTCGGACGTGCGCTCGGGCTCAATGGTGAAGAATGAATCTGGTATCGGCGAGGCAACCCCCCTGGTCGTCGTATCAATGCTGTTTATGCTGCAATGATGCGTGGATATTAGCTCATCTGGCAATGTGGGCGATGGGGCAGCTGCCGATGGACGAGGGGGTGTCACGACGAGATCCTGGTTGATAGAGGTATCGGTCGCTGCGCTCATGGATTTGAAACTGGTCTCCGAGTCGCCAGAGTCGATGCGTAGTGATGATCGTTGGTGGGGTACCGTCACGCCGCTCCTGTGCGGACTCGATGTGGGCGTATGCAGCTGACGCACATCCTCCAACGAGGCCTGGATTTCCAGTATATCCTCCTCGTCCTCGGTCGTCAGCGTTGGTGCTGCGCTGCCATCAACCACATTCAGGGACGCACCCAGATCCATTATTTCATCGATTTCATCCTTCTGCTGTTCCTCCGTCACCGATTCCTCCAGCACCAGCTCATCCAGGAGAGTCTCGTCGACCAAATCAAGTAAGCTCTCTTCTTTGTTAGTTCCATCCGCCTTCTCATCTGCGACATTTGCGGCGCGTACCTCTCGTTCTTGTTCCGATTCCACCTCAACCTCTGCTCCCAATTCGGCTTCGGGTACTATTTCCGATTCAATCATGGCGCTATCTACGGCGTCCTTTCCTCTATCGGAGACGTTTTCATCTCCGTCTCCGTCTTTGTCTCCATCTCCATCTCCATCTCCGTCCGCTTTTACGTTCGCTTCCGTATCAGTTTTTTCTTCGTTTTCTTCCGTTTTGCTCGTTAAGGTTCTGTCATTCGTTTCTTTTTCTTTGCGGTCCTCTACTGCATTTGCGACCGGCTGCTCTTCTCCTTCGACTACTTTCTTTTCATTCGCGATGGTCTCCTCTGCTCCCACGATTTTATCTTTGTCTGCCTCTCCTGGGGCCATATCTTTATCTGTGTCGCTGTTGCATTTTTCGGCCAACGTCTTCTCCATCTCCGTTTTCGTTGCCATCTCCGCCTCTGTTTCCTGTGGCTTCGCCGTTTCGGTTAATATGTCTGGTATTTTGGCCATTTCTTCAAACTTTTCAATGAGGGTCTGTACACTCTGAAAGGCGTCTTTCTTCGGCTCCTCCTTTTGTTCCTTTTTGTCCTGCTGCCCCTTCGGCTCCTGCTCCGTCTCACTGTCGCTGATGGTCGTCGTCACGGAGATCTTCTTCCGCTTCTTGGGTACCGGAGTGCCATCTCTTTGGGCGCGCGGCAGGTCGTTGGGCACTGAATGAAAAATACACAAAAATGAATATATGTTCAGTCAAGACCATTCTAGATCCTCCGCTTACCGATATACTCCTCATCTTCATCATCGTTCTCGGGCTTTCGATCATCGTCGAGACGCAGGCTGGCCAGTCCCACGACCGGTACACTCGAGGGGGACCTCTTGAGCTTGCGACTCTCCGAAGAGCCACCGTTGCAGGAGCGGCGCTTGTCCGTGCCGGTTGGGGTGGCGAGGACAATATCCTCCAGCACGTTGCCAGTCGCATCCACACGCTGTAGGCGCGTGGGTTTCGGCGAGCCCCTGCGCTTAATGGACAAGCCCAGCGTGGAGCGACGCGGGCTGCTGCTTTCGCTGCTGCCCAAAATCTCCACGGATTCGCTGAAGGACACCGACAGATTTGACTTTCGCGGTCGCCCCTTGGTGGGGCTCTTCAGCGTCTTCTTGGCCTTGCACACTGTTGGCCACGCAGTTGCCTTGGGTTGTGTGTCCGGTATCTTGATACGCTTAATCTTTACCCTACAGTGGAAGAATCGGGCGCCATAGCGATTGATTAGCTCCTGGATGGGTAGCGTCACCGCTTTGCTTGTGCTCGGCCTCTGCTTGGTCCTCGGTGCTGCAGGCGTATGCTGGGTTCCACGATTTTTGCCACTATTATGCGCCAAGGGTACCTTGATGTGCACTTTGGTCTTCTTTGGCGGCGATGGGGACGCCTCTGTGGTCGAGCAGCTGGCATTAAGGACCTTCTTGGGGCGACCGCGCTTGCGTGGCCCGGACATCGGTGTAGCTGGGAGTTGCAGTGTTGCTGTGGATGTGTCCTTGGATGGGTATGGGGATGATGCGGTGTAGCTCTCAATTTCTGCTGTTGTCATACGCTTGATGCGCACCAACAGAGGCTTGGTCAGCTGGCTGGACGTTGGGCGGGGGAGATCGGCAAACATCTTTTGTTGGGCCTTGGTTTTGGGCGGAATTGACAACTGTATCGAATCGTCCAATTCATTGTCCCCCTCATGGTCCTCAACACCATCGTTCTTATCATCAGCACTTTCCTGAGCTTGATCCTTGCCCATTGGTTCTTTGTCTTCGGCCGCATCTTTTGTTAGTTCCCGGGAAACGGTGCGCTTTATGCGGACGACCAAACGTTTGCATGGCTCCACGGGATCATCCTCGGCGGTTTCTATATAAAATGCATGCATGTACGTATATATATAAATGGAAGTGTATGTACATCGATATGTGTGCACGTGCAAGGGTGTATAGGTGTGCGTGTACATGCCAAAAGCTTTGAGGTGGTCCACAGACACGCCAAAATGCTTACCCAAATGACGCGACGAAGAAGCAGCGGCGGTGGCTGTGGCAGCTGCGGTGGCTGTGGCAGCTGCGGCGGCTGTGGCGGCAGTCTTCGTCGATGGTGTCTCAGGCAGTTGGGAGGCACCTCTTGAGTTCCTTGAGCCCTCGCGAACCCGTTGTGGCGGCGGAGTTGCCTTAACCATGTCGAACAACTCCATAATCTGTTTGAGCGTTGCGTCGCGTTCCCGTTCCCTCCTAACCAAAGAAATTCAACATTTGGTTACCAGTTGCAAAAATTGGCAAACTAATTGACTATGCTTACCTCTGCAAGAGATTTGAGCTGTTTAGCGGTCCTCTTCTTGTATTTTTCCACCAAAATTTCTTTTCATTCAACAAAATTAACGCGGACTAGACGCCGTAGAGGTGTCAAACCAGGGCACTATCGATAGTATCGAATTTTTACGGCTAGCCTCTACTATCGACGGTTTTGCGACTATCAGGATAAACTCGATTGTTTTTTCAGAACATTCAACGTTGATATTCCCCTCGATTTTGATATTCCGTTTAATATTACTAGCTAGCTGAGATTCTCAGCCCTAAACAAATAATTTTATCCTATAGATACATACATTTTCTACAAGATTGGCAAGTTTTCAGAAGTCTTTTTTATTGGATTATTTACATATTAAGGTTCAAACAAAAACAACATAAAACGAATGTGACGTCGTTTTGTGGCGCTGCCAGACTCGTGCAATTCGTAGTTGCTGCGGGCTGCCATACCGTGATATTTTGTGATATGAAATTCGTCAATTTTGATATTCAGTTTAATATTACTAGATAGTTGGCCCGCTCAGCCGTAAACAAATAATTTTATCCGATAGATACATCATTTTTGTTCAGGATTGGTTAGTTTTTAGAACTCTTTTTCATTGGATTGTTTACATATTAAGGTTCAAACAAAAACGGCCAAAGCATAAAACTTAAATGTTGACTAAATGTAACGTCATTGTTGATGGTCAACCAATTTTCTTCTATGCGTATGGGCTTTAGTATACCTTATTTCCTTTAATTGATGTTAAATTTGTTGTTTCAGGCTGCTTTGAAACATTAATATTGCATTTTCGTAAGATTGAGTTATTTTTTACCTATCCATGCATATGTTTTGTGTTTTATATATACATTTATCCCGGTTCTGATACCTATTATTGGTACCCATGAGCTACAAAATTTCGTTGATGTCTTTTAATAAGAGACTGAGTAGTTTCTGCATTACTTGGAGCCTGAAATTACAAACAATATCTCAAGTCCATAATATCCATTTTCCCAAGGTATGCAGATTGTTGCTCATTCCGTGCCAAAGTTGCAGAACAATGCTGCTACTCCATTTCCCCGTGCTGCTGCAATTTTTCCCATACAAATCAAATGTATCATACGGGAACGCGTATGGAATGACGCAACAATGAATCTTTATTCCATACGCGTTCCCGTAAGATACATTTGATTTTGTATGGGAAAAATTTCAGCAACATGCTGCCACACCACGAAAATGAGGGGAAAGTCTCCACAAAAACACTCTATTCTCCACTGAAAAGAGAGCACTCTCCACGAATTGAGAGCAAATTTTGCAAACTCTCCACGAACTGAGAGCGATTTTTGCAAACTCTCCACGAATTGAGAGTGAATAATATCGATATTTTTATGCGATAAATGGAGTCTGGCGGTCATTTTGAAGCGTATCTTAATATATAAACAAATAAATTGGAACTTGATTAAATAATATACCGTAAGTATTCATAAGGACACGACAAGATGCGTTGAACTTCCTTATATTCAGTTTAATATTACTAGCTAGCTGAGATTCTCAGCCCTAAACAAATAATTTTATCCGATAGATACATACATTTTCTACAAGATTGGCAAGTTTTCAGAAGTCCTTTTTATTGGATAATTGATATATTAAGGTTCAAACAAAAACAACATAAAACGAATGTGACCTGGTTTTGTGGCGTTGCCAGACTCGTGCAATTCGTAGTTGCTGCTGGCTGCCCTACCATGATATTTTTCTACCCGTTTCATTACCGATTCGCTTTCAACTGATCTGGCAGCCCTAACAGAAAAAGTAGGCAAAAAAGAAGAATAAAAATTTTCCACAAATAGGAAGAAGAAAACCCACTCCGGAAAATGAATGATCGCTATCGCACTACAGCATCGATAGCAGCGAGTATCGCATTAGACCCTTACCGGTAGGGTATCGATACGAATTTCTATAATAGCATTCAGCTTTAGTCAGCGAGCACATTCAAATTCAATTTTGAATGCACAATTTGAATTAAGCAAACTCTTTTAAGTCCAAGCAAAACCTTATTAAAAGAATATCAGCTGTTATCGAACTTTGTTTTTGTTCCAATTTCATTTATTTGAAGGATTAATAAATACGATAGATTTGTACAAGTAGTTAGACCATATGCTTTCCGTTTCTAGTATTTTGTTTTGTTTTGATTTGATTTTATTACAGCTAGCTTTAGGTTAACATTTTAAAAGGACTAGCACGAAGGAGTAATCCTCTCTCAGCTCTGCATATAAATATTGCGTGTACATATGCATGTATGTACTGTGTGTGTGTGTATGGGCTTTTATATATGTATGTAGGTAGCGCATGCGAATACTTGGCTTGGAGTTAGCTAATTAGTTAAGGGCTTTTGGGATGAGAGAAAAGTGCTCTAATAAAAAATTACATTAATTATATAAACAATTAAATACATTATAAAAGTACAAACATTTTTTTTTCTTTTCTTTTTTCTTTTCTTACTGATTTTCTGTCAATTCTTTTGTTCCTCCATCTCCATCTCTGTCTGTTTTTCCTTCTCTTTCTGTTATGTGTGTGTCGTTCTCTCTGTCGTGTTCGGTTTCCTGTGTTGCCCGGTCCGGCTGGCTGCTGCACTGTCACGGCAGCAGCCACGCCTTACTCCAGGACCCTCCCGACCCTCCAGCAGGCCACAGATTAGATATACACCTTAAAGGCACTCCAACCGTGGAAGCATTTGGTAAAGCGTCGCGACTCCTTGTTCTTCATCGTGAGGAACAGTTTGCGCGGCCTCTCCGGCTGCTTGATCCGCATATGCTGTATGTACACCTGGGCCGATTTGTACGCCAGCTTCACCTCCACCTCGCTGCACCGCGGCCCCATCCACAGGAAGACATGCTCCCCATTGTCGAGTATCATGATATCGTCATCGGCCAGATCGTCCTGACAGAAATCGGCGCACTTCTCGGCCACCGTGTAGTAGCCGCGCTCGTTCGAGCACCGGAACAGCCGCGTGTAGTTCATGTACTCGGCATCCGTGTCGTAGGGCTTCCGGCCGCCGAGTGCCACCCAGAAGAAGTTCTCCGGCTCGTCGCCCTCATTGAGGATCTACGCGTGGAGCAAAGACTGAAGACTGAAACCGAGTGTTCTTTGGGGATCAGCAGTAGTTGGAGCACTTACCTGCAGGCTCACCCAAGGACTGTTGAACATCTGCTCGGCAATGTCCTGGACCAGCTTGGCCTCCTCGTTGCAGGCCTTGCTGCCCAGCCACACGTACACGATGCCCGACTGCGACTCGTCCTCCGTTTCAAATGGCACATGAAGTATGTAGCTGCAGGGAAGATGGAAGGGGAGGGCATATATGTATAAGAGACTGTGATCAGTGGTTGCTGATGGCTGAAATGGCCTACCAGAAAGCCGAGTTCAGATGCACTGCATCCGGATTGATTTGGATGAGGCGCGTGGTCAGAGCACCGCCATTCGAGCGCAGATGAAAGAACTCGACGGGCGCCTTGCCCTCGGCCGTTAGGGCTCTGTCCTTGCGCTTGCCCGTGTGGATGATGAACTTGCGCTTGAAGTGCGACATAAACTTGAGGTTCTCCTGCTGCTGGAAGATGCGCATCACCTCCAGCTCCTCGCCGAACATCGCCTTGAACTTCTTCTGCAGCGTGAAGGTGAACGTCAGCCAGCCCATGTTGCCGGCATTGCGTCCCTGCCAGAAGTACACCACACACTGGATCTCATCCTCCGGCTGCGACTGCAGATGCTGCTGGCTGGCTGGCTTTTGGCTGTCAACTGCTGTACCCGCACCCGCTGCCACTGTCGCTGGATCTGCATCATCTGGCGTTTCGGGCTCCTCGATGGGTATGCAGTAGCGACAGAGGAAGACATAGCACTCGCCCGTGTAGAAGTGTCCCAGCTCCTCCTCCGGCAGGCGGACAAACTTCTTGTTCTCGAGCACAAAGGCCTCCATCATCTCCAGATCGTAGTTCCACTCCTCCTCCAGCTGCTCGGCCTCGGCCAGCGGCATGGCCGATTGCCGTGGCATGAACAGGGCAGCCAGATCCGTGCGCGTCTCCTGCTGCCGGGCCCACTGCGTGAGATTGGCCCCCGTCTTGGCCACGGACTTGGCCGTGCGCGTAAAGTCCACGGCCATCACCTCATCCCAGCCGAGGAACTTGGTGCGGAAGATCTGCATCTCATTGCCCTCGGGTACGCGCATCACGAGGGCGCACTCCGGCCGGTCCATCATGTTGAAGAGCTCCCGACTGAGCTTGACGGCCGCCGCTCGGACCAGGCGCGTCGATTTCTTGCCAAACCACACAAACAGATCCGTGTAGCAGTCGAGGATGTAGACGTGCTTGCTGTTGAGGAGCGTGTGGCAGAGCTTCTGCTCCGGCAGCTCCACTTGCGGCAGCTCCAGGTAGCCCATGCCCAGCTGGACCTGGTAGAGGCGCGGCTGCACCGGCTGGTAGTCGTCCGGTACATGCTCCTGTGGCGGCTGGGCCGCCGCCTCCTCCGCTGTGACGTCCAGTCCCTGCCAGAACTCCGCTGTCTCCTCGCCCTGCCGCTCCACATTGATCTCGCACTTGTTCTTGCGCTCCGTCTTGTTGATCTTCTCGGCCATGAGGCGGGCCTTCGAGTTGAGCGTGTTCTTGGAGCGTGTGCCCAGCCAAATGTGAATGCGCGTGCCCAGATCCAGGACGAACGCGTGCCGGGGATCCAGCGAGGCCAGGCAGACGGCCACCGGCTCCAGATGCACAGTGGCCCCATACGCATGCACCAGATACAGCCTCGTGATGTGTATCATCTCCTCGATGTTGTAGAAACCGGTGGCCGTGCGCCCGCCCTCAATGTAGATGACCTCCGTCTCGAACAGGGCCAGAAACTCGTCCGATTCGTCGCCCTGCTCCTCCCGGATCGTCCGACAGCGCGCGCCCAGATAGTTTCGCAGATTGACAGCATGAATGGCCGCACAGGCACGCTTGTCCAGGGTGGCCTCGTTGCCGATCCAAAAGAATATCTCCCACGTGAGGTTACCCAGGTCGTCGAAGCGCGTCTTCAGCACAATGTAGCAGTCGCCCTCGTAGAACTTGCCGTGCACCACCTCCTCGATTTTGTTTGGCAGAAAGTTCTCGATCTCCCAGATGGTCAGGCCCGGCTGCTGGCCGTCCTCCTTTTCGAAGAACTTGGAGTAGTCCAGTGCGGGCTTCTCCAGCGACTCGTCCCACCGCTTGGGCTTCAGCGATTCGGGCTTGCCGCTGCCGTCCTCTGGCAGCATGCCTTCGGCCTCGTCCTTGTCCTTGGCAATGTCCTTCATGCCCTTGAGCACCTTGGCCGCATCCTGATCGCCGTCAGAGCGCGGCCCCCGTCGCAGGCGTATCTTTCGCGCCGTCGAGTCCTTGGGCGTGGCTGTGGCAGGCATCGACTGGGGTACAGCGGCTCCGGCCAACCGGAGCTGCGTCTGCAGGCTGAAATCGATGTTGTAGAACTCGAGGCTGGTGGCCTTGCTGGCCTCACTCGGCTTGGGGGGCATCACCAGGTCGGGATTGTTGCGCAGATCCAGCTGGTCGAGTCCCTCCAGCAGATGGATGGCATCCGGCAGTGTGATCAGGCGATTGCAGCTCAGATTCAGCTGCTTGAGGGCACCGCACCGGCACACGCCCTCGGGCACCATCTCCAGCAGATTGTTGGCCGCCGAGAAGACCTCCAGGGCGCCGAGCTTGCCAATGCCCGAGGGTATGCCCTCGAAATTCAGCTTGTTGTCGTTCACGAAAAGCCGCCGCAGCTTGGGCAGCTTGCAGAGGGCGGCGGGCAGGGCGGTTAGCTGATTGCGGCAGAGATTGAGCGACTCGAGGCGCTGCCAGGACTCCATGCTGGAGCTGAGCTCGTTGATCTCGTTGTCGCTGAGATTGAGCCGCACCAGGGTGGCCACATTGTAGACGCAGTCGGGCAGCTTGGGCAGCGCATTGTGCGACAGATCCAGCTCACAGAGATTGGCCAGGCTGTCCAGGCTGGTGGGGAAGTTGAGCAGCGTCCGCTGCGTGCCGCTCATCTTCAGCACCTCGAGGCTCTGCAGGGAGGGCAGCTGGCGCAGCTGGAACAGCTCCAGCGGATTGTGCGATAGGTCGAGCGTCTTCAGATTGGTCAGACGGCGCGTCTGGGGTGGCAAGGTCTCGAGGCGATTGTGCGACAGATCCAGGAAGAGCAGATCCGTCAGATGGATGAACAGCGGGGTGGGTATGCACTCGATATGATTGTGGCTCAGGTTGAGCACAATCAAATTCTTGGCTCTGTCGAGGCCGTCGGGCACCTCCTTTAGCTTGTTGTGCGACAGATCCAGCGTGGTCAGCTCCTCCAGGTGGAACAGCTCCGGCGGTATGCCGCTGTTCTTCAGCTGATTGTGCCGCAGATCCAGCGAGCGCAGGCATGTCAGCTCCGTCAGCTCCCCGAAGATCTTCTCCAGCTGATTGTGATTGAGCGATAGATGCTCCAGCTTCTGCAGCTGCCCCAGCTCCTCGGGCACCTCCTGCAGCTGTGTGTGGTCCAGAGTGAGCCATTGCACCCGCGACATTTGCCGCATGGAGCTCGGGAATGTTTGCTAAAATCAAATGAGAACATCCCAATCAATAGTCAATCAATCAGTATCAATCATCAATACAGCAGCTGCACTCCACAGCTGCTGGGATGACAAATTCCCCTCGCCTTCCGTCATAGATGGATTTTCTTTCTTTTTTTTGTGACCTGTTTTTGGCAAGACACAAAAAACGCACACAGCAGGCATAGGCATAGGCAGGAAGAGGGGCGGCGGGGGCAGAGAGAGAGAGCGAGATGGAGAGAGAGAGTGGGCGAGGGAGAGAGGGGTATAATACTCACACTGAAATCATTTTTGGTAAAGTCAACGCCGCGTACAAACGGTAGGACACTCATTTTGATAAAATCCACATAAAATTGATTTAAAAAACGACTACTCCGGGCGACGGCGGCGGACGACGACACGACAAGCTGGCCTGGGCCCCTGTTCTTGTTATTCTCGGTGGAAATAGTTCCACCGAGAGAATGTGTGATGATGTGATTGCGGTGATATTCCTAGATTTTTATATTCGGCTCGGGACTACTAGCTAGCTAGCACCCTCAGCACTGATCATATAATTTTATCCGATAGATTAATCAATTTTCTACAAGATTTACTAATTTTAAGTACTCATTTTCATTTGATTATTTAATAATAAGGTTTTATTAAAAAATGACATCAAACATCCAATAGGCAGTGGCCTGGTCACCAGTAAGACCGCGGATTTATTGATAAAATATACCCCACCTGACCCTCAGAAATATACCGAAATATAGCTTCTCATTTTCAAAATATACCGTAAATATACCTAGGAAAAAACGAGCTTAGCCCACTTAGCCCCCCTCTATTTAAACAGGTGAACACCATGAGTTAGACCGCGGAAAATGATACTGTTTGTAAATGTTCCTTGTAGCTCCATATCGTCTTTACTCGCAAAACGAAAATGGCCACGATATCTTTCACCATTTCATCATTTTAGTATGTGTATTTAAATACCCACAATGGGTCAACAATGGGTTAATTGAATTATGAACGCCAATCACGTTAACCAACACTGTGGTTATTCAACAGAATACGACAATATACAGAAATTCGAAAATGCCAGGGCTGGCAAACCAATCCGTTAGTCCATTTAACTGCAAAATATGAATTTAAAATGTACGGCAACAAGCAAAGTCAATGACAAACACTCAAATTTGAACAACATTATTAGAGATTTAAAGTATTCATAATAAACTGGAGATCAGAATCCGCCCGGCGGCTTTAAAGCACGAATACCAACTGCAGCAGCCCTGGCCAATACTGCGGGGAGGGTGGAAACTTGCGCACGCACAGCAATGAGAGCTTCACCTGTTTTGGGTGTCGAGTCGGAAGAGTCGGGTCGTGAGTCGAGTCTCCTGTTTTTATCCTGTAAAATAGCGAACGTGCCTCTACGGCACATCAACATCGTATGCATAATCTAGAGGGTGTGACCGACCAAATTGAACGACACAAAATTTTCATACTTTGCCCAGTCTTCGGAATGTGAAGGTCCTGCTCGTGTTTCCTTTCATAAAACTCAACCGAAAAACAACACAAAAAAGAGCCACAAAAACCATTTTAGTTAAACAATAAGACAAATCTTTCGCGGTTAACAATATAGAAATGTCAAGGCCAAGGGTTTATCGCTTAAAAGTGAAATAAAAAGTAATAATCATTTCGAATCAGCGGGTTGCGGTGTTCTCGACTCGTCGGTACTCTCGGGCTTGATAAGCCCCCGGAGAACTGTATGGAAATATGGGGGAATATGAAGCTTTGTTTGTTGTGAAAAATTGTGTACCCATTTGGGTGGTCCCTGCCAATAACTTTGAGTTTTTTTTGCCTGGTTAATCAGTGGAATCATTGTTGAGTTTAAAAATGTCATTAAAAAACTTAAGGCTCAATAAGGTGGAACTATAATTTATGCCATTACTGTTCTGTTTTTGAAGTGAATTTGAACACACATCAATTGTGTGTGCTGCAGTACGAGGGCGGGTGAATGTGTGCGTAAGTGTCGCCTGTGTGTTTTTGTGCGTGATGTTGTTGCTGTTACTATTGCAACTACATATGCATGTACATATGTATGCACGTTGTTGCATTGCATTTGTTGTAATAGCCATGGAAACCCCTAAGAGTAAACTACATAAATGTTGCATTTCGTGGCGATGCAGCAGTCAGTGAGAGAGGAGGAGCAAAGGATGAGGGAGAAGTGGGCGCAGCAATTACGAGTGCGTGGCTGGTGTGTTCGTTCGGCATGGCACGAAACGAGACGACTTGCCAAAGGAGGAATAAGGAAGCAGAGCGAAATTTTAATCAATAGATATATAAACTCACACACATGCACCCATATACTCACGAAGTCGCACACAGGGTGAGAAAGAGCGAACTCAGAGAGCGAATAGGACAAACAAAGGCAACAATAATGGGAGCAGCAACAACAACAGTTATACTTTTAAAACAGCAAGGAAAGAGTGCGCGCATAGGGAGCAAAGGGACAGAGAGAGAGAGAGAGAGAGAGAGCTGCCAGGACAAGAGAGAGCGAGCACTCCTGTTACCGTTACTGTTGTTCTTGTTGCTGGCGCTCGCAGTAGATTCAGGATGAAGAATGGGTTGGGGGATGGCTGCTGCGACAGGCTGCCAGGAAGAGGAAGACAAGTGAACAAAATTGCTATTGCGCTGCCCAGGCCGCAGCAGCATCAATAAGAAGGAAGGAATAAAGGCGGAGACGCCAACCAAAAGTTTTTTACTGTGTGCAAAATAAAAGTATAAAGCGCGGTAAAGCAAGTATGCAACACGCAACAAAATAATGTTTAATTAAAGTGCATCAAAAGAGGGCGTACAAGAGGAAACGGCAACGGCAACCTACTTATTGAGCAATTAAGGCCATGCCCACACATGAGCATGCGTACGCCCACACATACTGTATGTGAGCATGTGTGTGTGTATGCAGGAACCGTTTGGTTCATTGAGGTGCCCGCTGAAATGAGCGTGTGTGGAAGGGAGATAGAGAGAGAGACAGAGAAAAGTGTAAATTTGTAGATCGGTAAATGCCCAAGTTCTATTTATTAAAGGTGAGGCATTACCAGAAAACGGATACATATGTGCATATGTATATAGTTGCAAAAAGTAATAAATAAAACCCTGGATAGTGTGTCAAATGATGTTCTTAAATGTTGCAAGATTTACGGTAAAACAAACGGAAGCAGCTGGACTTGCCCCTCTCAACGTTTTTCCCCTATATGTATATTTTGTTGTTGCATATTAAATCTCCTCGTACTTACACACATTTTCAAACGTTCTGCTTTGCTCTACTCCCTATTATCCCACCCGACACACGCAGTGCACAACAATTTGGATTTGGTGTCAAGAGGTTAGGAAACGCCGCAGCCCCGTGAGCACGTAGAGCGTGTCAGAAGTGACGTCCAAACCCACCAACAACAAAAGGAAGGGGAGGGGAAAAGCAGACACAAGAGGGAGGACACACACTCATCCCACACACACACACACACACACCCACACCCACATCCACACACGCTCAAGAGGAGAGAGAAATCAAAGGAGTGCGAGAGCAAAACCGTTATAGGGGCTGCCCAAGAGTAGAGCGAGAAGAGTCGTGCAGGATGGGCGACTATCACGAGTTTACGGATCAATACAAGGTCCCGGTGATAGCCAAACTGCTTCATGCCCTGCCCCACTACAACATCACATTCCACAAGATCAACAGCACGTTCCGGCCCAACGATGAGATCTACCTAGAGGTGAGCAAAGCGAGAATCCAATGGGTGTCCAGCAATTCCAATTGTTTTCGATTCCGATTCGAATGAAAATTAATACAAATTCCTTGGTTTCATTTGCACAGAGTCTGGGAATCTTGGGATCGGTGCCAGCGGCGCTGCTCATCGTCTCGCTGCTGGGACTGCTCTTCTATCTGATGACCAGATGCTGCGACCGGAAACCCCGCCCGGCCCACTCGATAACCAGCCTGAAGGTGGCCCTCTCGATTGTGACTGTGATGTGCTGTGCCGCCATCGGCCTGGGACTGTACGGCAACGATGATCTGCACAATGGATTGCTCGAGGTGCTGACCGCCGGACGGAAGGTGGACAATCTGGTGACGACCATCAGGAATCAGACGCACATACTGGAGAACACGCTGACGAATCGCATCAGGCCGCAGCTGGTGGAGCTGGCGGATATCTTCGATCAACCGGTGTCCAATCAGACGGCCCTATCCAAGCTTTTTGTTTCGTTGAACATTGTCCAGGGCAATGTGACCCTGGCCACGAATGCAGCCAGCGATATACGACGACCCCTCATGGGCATCTCCATGACGCACTTTCTGACAGTAAGTCCTGACAGTCCTTTGACCTTTCCCTATGTAAAACTCTCCTCTATTTCTTGCCCCGCTTTCCATCGCTTTTGCCTCTTTGCAGCGCGGCGACCAATGGGAATTAATACGCTGGCCGGGCACAGTGGCCACCCTAGCACTGCTCCTTGTCCTCTGTGCTGTACTGCTGGTGGGCGTGGCCAGGCATTCCCGCTGCGCTCTGATACTGTTTAGCGTTTGCGGCCTGCTGGCCGTGACTGGCTCCTGGCTGATGTCCGGCCTTTATCTCTCCTCCTCGGTGGCTGTGGGCGATCTGTGCATAAGCCCAGCGGATTTCCTCGTATCCACGGCCCCCCGGGACCTGCCCACGAACGTCCTGCTGCACTACACCCAATGCGAGCCGGGGCACACGAATCCGTTCACCCAGCGGCTGAGAGAGTCGCAGAACTCGCTGAACAATGCCCGCAGTGCCATGGCCACCGTAATGAAGATCTCCCTGGTGCTGTTCAAGTCATCCGGCTTGCAGCCAAAGCTGGGAGCGGTGAATGCAGATCTGAATAGCAGCGAACGGCTTCTCACTCAGCTGACGGCTCTGGTCGACTGCAAGGCGGTGCATCATAACTTTTTGGCAGCCGCCCGGGGACTCTGCGAGGGAGGATTGCTGGGGCTGGTGCTGATGCTGATCGCCAGCTTCATTGCGGCCATATTACTGACGATTATGGTGTGGGTGGACTCGCACACGTGGATCTACATACGCAAGCGGAACGACTATGCCCAGGTGGATGAGCCGTCATATATATCGCATCCGGCACCACAGAACCATCAGCAGATGATGAACGCTGCCCGGACACTGCCGCGCAATCATAATGGGTATGTTTTGGCCGATGCACCGGGGTGATCCACCCGTTGGTTGATCCGCCCCCACTCGTGTCCTGCCGTAGCTTGAACCCACCCGTTTCCCGCCTCCATTCTCTCTTCTCTCTCTCTCTCCCTCTCTCTGTCTCTCTCTCTCTCTCTCTCTCCTTCGATCTCTGTGCATCCGGTGTCGTTGCAGGCACTTCAGCCCACCGGTTATCAGCGGCTCGCACACACTGCAGCATCCCAGCAAACGGCAGCAGCACGAGATGATGGCCCACGCACACATCCAGCAGAATATGCGGGCCATGGGTACCCACACGCTGGGACGGCTTCCGTCGCACAATCACAGCCCCACGCACATGACTGGTAAGTGGCACCCACGCGCAATCAGCGTGGCATCAGCGCCCCCATACACACTTGACACAAACCAACGTCACACCCACACCCACAAACCATGTGTCTCTCTCTCTCTCTCTCTCTCTCTCTCTCTCTCTATCTATCTATCTATCTTGTTTTATATGGATCTTTATATTGATCTGACGGGAGCCTCAATGGGGTTCGGAAATCGAATTGAGCTTTGGATTTTGGCTATAAGCCTATTATTGCTTACGCGAGTATTTAGCGACTTGTCCTAGACTAGGGGAACGTTTTTTTCCGATATTCGAATCCCAGTACCTTAGCTTAGAATATCGTTTTACCATTTCATTATCATGCCCAAGCAACTTATACGGTTTTTTCTATCTTGGGACAGAATTTTAGTCCTAGACTGAGCATTTTTTTGTTAGATTCTGCGCACCGAGTCAGCTGCCCAGGGCATTGTGGGGGCCGTAGTCAGAAACCAAGTCTAAGTGAAGAGTAAACTGAAGGCCCAGGTACGAAAATTTGGTGCCTCATGCCACATCTGGGTAATGGTCTAACGCAGAAAAATGTGCAGATTTATAGATAGATACTATATAGATAGTAAATGAATACCTGTAGGATATGTAGATGATATGAAATCGTAGATCCCATAGCTGGAATCAGTAGCAGAGCCGATGAATATGGCGATGAGATTTTTCTCGGATGCAAGGCGTGCCTCTATATCTATGGCTCAATTCGTTCTCATCGTTTCTTTGTATGATCTTTCATTACATGCAATGCCCGCGCCCATCTGTCGTTCATCGTTGCATTGATTCGTCGTTCTCCTCATCCTGCATCCTGCATCCGCATCCACATCCACATCCGTATCCTCCATCCGCCTTGCTAATTGAAATGTGTGTTGTGTGTGACTTTTTGTAGGTCCCAATAATGGTAAATATGCAACCCTAAGCAAACAATGCAAAACTTTGGAAGCCAATGACTTTTACTGAAAACCGTCGCCACCCCCCGCAGCAGCAGCAGCCGCAGCCGCTTCCGCACTCGCCGCCAATATGCCGCCCACGACACAGGCCCAGGTCCAGGCTGCACAGGCGCATGCCCAGCAGCAGGCCCAGCAACAGCACCAGCAGCAGCAGCAGGCCCAGCAACAGCAGCAACAAATGGGAGGACCCCAGCCCATTTACTGCCATCATCCACACCAGCACCCACACCCGCATCCGCACCAGCATCAGCATCCGCACTCGCATTCGGCTGCCGCCGTGGCCGCCGCTGTCCAGCATCAGCACGCCATTTACCACCAGCAGCAGGCCCAAGCACAGGCCCAGCAATATGGCACCTATACGACGGCGGCAGCGGCGGCGGCTGCGGCCCATCATGCCCCGCATCACCTGCCGCCGGGTCAGAGCCAGATATATCAGCAGATTCCCGCCCATCTGGCCCCACAGCTGGCTGCCAATGGGAATCCGCATTCGATCTATCAGCCGCTGGTGGCCGTCAGCCAGGGTTCCATTTATGTTTCGAATCTGGCCACGATGCGTCGGCAGAATAGCCAGGCTGGACCACAGATACCGGCCCATCATCATCCGGGGGCAGTGCCGCCACCCAATCCCCACCAGCAGCAGCAGCATGCCCAGCCCCCGCCGCCGTCACAGCAGCAGCAGCAGCTGCACCAGCTCAAGTCGCCACAGCAGCACCAGCCACATCCCCAGCAGCAGCATCAGCAGCAGCATCCCCAGCATCCACAGCATCAGCAGCATCAGCAGCAGCAGCATCAGCAGCATCAGCAGCCCGAGTCGGATGTGGTACCCATTAACACTGCAATAGACACGGCCATCTACGATCGGGATAAGCAGATCTACAAGTGCTCGACCCTGCGGCAGGGCGGCAAGTTCGATCCCAAGTACAAGCCCTCGATACTGAATTGTCCCTTGCCGGAGATACCCAAAGATGCGGAGCAGCCCAAGGTGGAGTCCATCTACCAGCAGAAGCAGCAGGCGCATCATCAGAACTATTCCAAGTAGGTATCTCGCTTGCAATCTGTACTCTAACGCCCAACTATCCTTTGAATCCTCCCGGTCGCCTCATCCTCCCAGAACCCTGCAGCGACCGCCGATGAAGCTGCCGCCGCAGATGAAAGCCATTCCACCGCCCCGCATTGGCACGCCCACATCGCCACCACCGCCCTCCGCACAGCCCACACAACTGCTGAGCGAGAGCGGAGGAGCTGCCGTTGTGGGTCTCCAAAACGGTGGCCCCAACAACAACAACAGTGAGGACACATCGCTGCCACCGCCGCCGCTTGAGGCTCAGACGGCACACCATGTGGAGGCGGCTCCACCCAAGGCCCGGATGGGACAGGCGGCCAATGGAAAGGCGGGCAACGGTCTAGCCCTGCACAATGGCGGAGGAAGCGTGAGCACAGCGGCTGGAGTGGGCACCACAGTGGATGATGATGATGATCTGCCGCCACCGCCGCCAGCGATAACCGACGAGAGCAACTATGCGGTGACCGAGCTGTAAGCGGTACAAAGGAATGGGCTGGGCTGGGCTGAGCTGGGGAATGGCAGTGGCATAGGCTAGCGTCATGGGTTTTGGCGTCTTCCAGCGGACATTACTTCTAGACTTTTTTGTATTATAGACAGACACATGACGCGAGGAAAAGGATGGATTATAAGAGGATAGGAGAAAAGGTGTGGTGGGGTGGGGTGGGGCTGATGGAGCGGCGACTGTTCCTGTTTCTTGATTTGTTGCATTTACCGTATCGTAATCGTATCCTAAAACCGGAATCCTTTTTTGTGCATCCTATGCAACTGCAAGCTATTACGAATGGTGTAGCCTACAATTGGACTTTTGTATATACTATACACTAGAGGTATACATATGTATATCTACATCTACATAGGATATATATATAATATACACAAACTATAAACAACGCACACAGACAGACAGACCGAAAACAAACTCGTGCATATTTAGATATTTGACTTATATACTATACTATATACTATACTATATACATAAGAACATATATGTAACATATATCAATACGATCTATGAATTCATATGTCTATAAAGACACGGTTATTCCTTTTTGATAATAGCATATTTTTACCAATCGCTACAAAAGACACACATTTTTTAAAATTGTTAAATAACAATTTTTAAAATCAACTTATTTAAAAGCCAAGAGACAGACAGCAATTATGGGGACAAGAATAAATATTGTAATATACAACATTAATCTATACATACACAAAAGAGGAAAGAAGAAACAAACTAACAAAAAAAAAATTAATTCGGATCGGATCGTAGCTTATAAGTTCTAGGAATCGAAATGTAGTTGAAAGTTAGCAAAACATTTTTTTATGTACTTATGGCACTTGTCGAGAGTTAATTTGGATCTAGGAACAACATCTAGGAACAGAATCTGAATCTGTGTGTGTGTGTGTGTAGAAGATGTAGGGGCAAATCCTTCGATATTCCTATATTTCCTTAAAGGATAGCATATTCCTTAAATCTGTTGATATTTTTAATATTTAATTAATCAATTAATCATTCAACAAATACTATACTCTGTACCAGAGACCTGAATGAACGATCCGCTTTATTCGGTCAGTTAGAATCTCCGTCGCAGCTTTCTCATTTAGAACAGATTTTTAATGCGTGGGATCCGAAAATTTCGGTTATTTATCTCGCTCACTCTCCATTTGATTTGCTAGTAGAGCGAAGGAGATTCGGGGTGATTCGAATCTGACTGAGGAAGGGATTCGTAATGATCGGAAGCATTAAAGAGGCATGAGTATAGCTGTGAATACTGTGGATTTATGCAGGGATCTACTCTGTACTTTGCAAGTTAAATGGATCGATTTCCACATGGATACATACATTGGCTTCCTTAATAGAATTTTGCACTTAAACTGATTCACTGAACTATTTTATAGTGAGTGATGTGTGATATTGTTACCTCTAGTCATTCCAACATTGGTATACCCCTTGGAAACTCTCTTAACATGACCTAAGTCTTCAAATAGTCAATAGCTAAAGCCAATTTTAATTTATTTTGAATGATTTGTTGATCAATTGTTCAATTAATTGTTGATTATTTTCAGGAACCACTACTACTGATATGATATTCCTTGCCCCTACATCTCCACTAAGTATTCAGTTTTAATGACCGGTGTTGGTGGTAGGTAGTGCTCGACTCTGTCCTGTGTCTGGGTTGTGCGTCAGGTGATCCAACGACTGTGGATCGCCTGAGACTGGCTGGGGGTTGAATCGATTTAGGAACTGACAGACGAACGGAACAAGTGGGGCATCGTTTCGATTTGACCCCTGCGATTTTATTGTGTATCTAACCTAAGCTTAACATGGAATGCATTTATTATACATAAACTAGCACATATGAATATACACCTATACAACACACACAAACACACAGAGAAACACGAAAAACAATGAAATAAATATATACATAAAAGTATAGATATGTATATGTACATGGAATATATAGTAGTACATGGAACTGTACATTTAGTAGCTAAACGAAAGGCAAGAAGGAGAATGAACCCATGCAAATAAAAATATTAAGTATGAGTATAGCATAAAAAAAAAACAAAACAATCGATAACCAGATAGAAACGAGATTTAGATTCTTGACCCTTGTGTCATTGGAACCGAAACCGAATAGCAATATATGTATGAACTAACAGAACAACAGAAAGTACTGCCTTCCCAACAACTCCAACAACCCCCGAACAACAACCAAACTGCAAAGTTAAATAGATATACATATACATACATATATATATGATATATATTAAATATAGTTAGTTATATACACACACACACACTCATATATGCCTATCAACTATGAGCAACAGCAAACCAGCAATGAATAATCGATCGAGTTGTGGGGGGATGGAGTTCCTTCTAGAGGAATTCCCCGAGTCAGAGTAGAGACCAGACCAGAGGCCAACGAAGCGTCAACCGAGGCCAATCAACTAAGGCAAACCCGAACACTGCCCGAAACACACAGCGAAAGTTCTCAACATTTACAGATACATATATTGAATAGCTATATAGGTACATACTTATATATATTCATATAAACAAACCTTAACTGAACATATTATATACACTACATCACATTGAGATGATCAATTGTAAAAAAAATATTATCGATGGAGTTGTACTCAAGACGAAATTTAACCAATAATCTTAATTCAAAAAAAAAAAAAAAAAAAAGAATCAACACACTGGAAAAAAAGGAACGTTTTTAAAAGTAAATATGTATAGATCGTGTAAAGACAAACTAATCAAGTTTTTTTATTCGCTTATTATACAAATACAAAATACATACATACATATGTTAAACACAACCAAGCAAGAAATTATTTGACAACAAAACGCAACCCCTTTTAGAGAGATTGTATGTAAAGCTCTTCTCCACCGGGGGTGAGGTGAAGTCTCAAATAAATTTAAAATAAACCAAAACAAAACAAAAGAAAACAAACCAAACCAAATCGATTTGAATCCTTAAAAGGATCCCATTATGAGACAAAGCTAAAGGTACCAAAAGCGAAGCACAAACGAACGAACGTGTGAAGAGAGATCCATTTGGTCTTGTCAGTTTCGAACCAAGGTCGAAACCAAATTCAAAACATAAAATTAATATACATATATATATATATATATAAATATACATATATGAATATTAAACAATTAGTTCGTAAATATATTTCTGTGTTAAATGTTGTCATCGTACGCGTTGTAGTTATTACAAAACAAAAGAAGAAAAACATAAAACCAAACAAAATACAGACAAAATACAGACAAAACAAGGTTATATACTCGTAAAAATGACGAAAACAAAATTCCATTAGCTGAAGAATTCAGAAATCGATACGAAAATAGGGTTCTTTTCAAAAAAGCTCAACCGGCAGCAGCCAAAAGGCACAAAACACAAGACAAGATCGAGTTATATAACAATACATGCATATACATATATGTACTTATATTCATTTATATGTATAGTATATATGCAGACATAGTTAAAGAAAATGTAAAGAACAGAGGCAAACAAATGGAAGCGCTTAGTTGCATATTAAACAAAAAATAAACTCTAACAAATCATAAGAAAAGTTTAAAAACTCTTGTAAGGAATGCCACAAAAGACACGAAAAAACTGTAATAAATAAGTGTGTGCCTCCAGAAATCCGTTTCCCCCAGAAAAATGTTCGGAATGGCACCGAAATGGTTGGGGCGGGTAGTCAAAAATGTCTGGAATAAAAATATTTTATGCGCAGAATAGAAAACAAATAAAAAAAAACACAGAAAAGAATTAAGGAAACGGAAAAATCAAGGCAAAAACCCCTCCCCTGGATGGAAAAATTTCTTTCAAAAGCAAGCAGCAACAAAGTAAAGCGCTAAAAAAACCAAAACCAAACAAAAATATTAATTAAAAATAAAATACAAATATAAAATTTAATTGCATTAGTTAGATGGAGAACATTTGTTTTTTTTAATGGGAAAAGCGGAAAATGAATGATGAAAAATCAATGAAAAATCAGATGGTTGGTAAGATAGCTAAAGCTGATTTTAATTGGAAATTCGGATATCGTTATCGTTCAATAAAGAAACAGGCTTCAACTGATATGAGTAGTGACCTAATTCAAGCGAAGCCGTTCAGAAAATGGCTTACATACATACTCGTAGTATCAAAGACTATAAAATAGTTGTTTAATCGTAATTGTATAGTCTTTGATACTCGTACAAGTATTATATCCAAAAATTCTAGAAAAACAAATTTGTTTTCTTTTTTATGCTTTGATTTCGTGATAAGCACCTCTTCGGATAAGATTAGTTATGATAAACTGGATAAACATTATAGTAAGTGTGGGATAGATAGGGGAAAAAAGACACCATCTCTGTCTGCATTATTACACAATTTATTTTTATTTTGTTGCTTTTATCATATTTTGTGCAGAATTTGTTTTCTTTTTATAGCAGCATTTTGTATATTAAATATATTTTATTATTATGTTTATTTTTCTTTCATTTATTTTGTGGTTTTTTTTTCTCACTTATTTAGTTTCTTACAAAATTAGAATAGAGCAATTTAGTGCCACACACAATTGAACATTGAACAATTGCCTAAATATATATATATATATATATATATCTTTCTCAAAGGTACTTGCATCGGAATAATACATACAAATAAAGAGATAAAATATAATCAAAATATTAAAGAAAAAAAAAAGCAGGGAGAAGGGAAAAGACGGAAAACTCTGTTGGATTATTCGCTCTTTTTCGGCTTGGGATCAGAGACAACAACGTCAACAACAACAACAACAATGATCGGAATAAAGTATAATAATTATATAAAATAAAATGTGTAAGATCATAGGAGTAGGCAATATATAAATACATACATAGCAATTTAATAGGTTTTTCTTTTCGAATTGGTATACTCGTAAGAGAAAAATCTTTGGAATTGTTGGTTTTTTATCTTCTCGTTTGAAGTTAGGGTTGGTTTTGAAGGGGAAAAGGTTGGTGATGTGGGCTAAAGCCAGCCTTCTATATAATATTCTTTTTCTAGCTCTGTTCTGCGGTGTGCTAAGCCTTGTCGTCCTTGTCGTTGTCCTTTGATTTGATTTGCTTTGCGGCCTATTCGCTCTAGAAATCAATCCATGAAGCTGGGGCTCCTGGGGCTGTGCCTGGGCCTAAGTTAAGTTTTCTTTTTTGCAATAATTCGTTTTGCTTTTAATTATTGTTAATTGCACTGTTTGCCGCCACCAATTCGGGCACGATCGAGGAGCCGGCACTGCTCTGACTGACAGTCCGAGCATGATCCACATGATTCTGAGTGGGCGGAGGCACTGCTGTGCCTATCGTACCCGCGCCTCCTGCACTAGGGACCGCTTCGGGGCCGTCAGGCGAACCCTCGCCGGATCCGGATACTGGCTCCACAGTGGGAAAGACGGGCTGCTGCGTGCTTGATGCGCCCACTGGCGTCTGCACCATGGGTGTTGGTGGCGAACGATTCGCTGGCAGCTGATGAGCCGTTGCTCCCGTCATTTGCATGTGGTACCTGTAGACGCGACGCACAACCATTTCAATAGACTGTGAATTGGATTCTTTTAATTCAACTCAATTTCAACTCACTTGTAAATATTTTCAGTGCTCTCGACCACGCCCTGGGTCAGATTAAGGCTGCGCCCCTTGATGCCAGACTCTTTGGCTGGTGGGGACCACCAATTGAAGACGCGTCCCACAACGGGCACATGCCGCAGGATGCCCTCCTGCCAGAGTTTCTCCTCCGATTCGCGTTGCAGATCAGCGGTGACAGCTTCAATACCCTGAGAAATAACAGAACCTCAAACTTGTGACTATCCAACTTAGGGCATATTGGGATATTAAGGATATACCTTCTTGACAATCTCCGACATGGTGTCCAACACTCGCGAGTTCTCCTGGACACTCTTGCCCACAGTGACAACCAAATCTAGCAGTTCCTCCACCTCGGTCTCGTGCGTGACCATGCCAAAGCGCACACAAATGAGTCCGTCCGTGCCCTCGCCCAGCGAAAAGGCATTGTCCGTTGACTTCAGAGCCTCGACCAAATCAATGTTGAGCTTGTTCAGCTCGGTTTTGGCCTGATCCGTCAGCAGAGACTCCCAGCTCTCGGGCACAAACCGAACACCGCCCATGCCCGCCCATTCAGGCAGAGGGACGAGACGCAGCACCTCGCTGCGTTCCACCAGGTAAATAAATCGGGCCTTGTGCTTGATGGTCGCCCGCAAAATGTCCACATGAGCCTCCAAGCTCTGGGCGAAGCTCTCCAGATTCTCAGAGCTGGGCGGCTGCTCTCCGAGGCCCAGTTCCAGGGGGCAATAGCGAATGCAGCTGCCATGTGTGGAGTGCTCAATCACTTCAAAATCAAACTATAGTGAAAAGGGGGAGCAGGCATGGGAACAGGAGTGAGCATTGATTCAATGAGTACAACGAGTAGCTACTGTTGGCTGTTACTCACATTGGGGCAGTCACGCTGCAAGATCTGGCCCAGCCAGGAGTTGAGCCGATCAAAGTAGGAAGCATTGTTGATCTTCTCTAGGGGCTTGAGGCCCCCTGTCTCACGTTCGGCTGCCTCGAGGTTGCCGGAAATTGGAATGGTTGTGCTGCCATCAAATTGATAGGCCACCACGGGTGCAGCCGCATCAAATAATGTGTTGACATCGAATGGGCTCTGGATAATGTCCGACAGGGAGGCACCAGTCTGTGCCCCAGGCGTGTGACTCTGTTTTGGGACATAAAAAGGTGCGTTTCAGTTGAAGAATACCCAAAGATATCTCTCTGCTTACCAGCACACGAATACCCTCGCATTTGGAGGCAATTTCGAATAGAATACTGCATGTCTGAAATGCCACATGGAGGCGCTCGGCAATTGCTTTCCTGCCCAGCGCCTGCAGGCTGGTCCACAGCGACAGCGAGTTCAAGCGTCGCGACAGAATCGGATCGGATTCGAAGGCACTCAGGGCACTGTTAAGTAGTGGACGATGCAACAGTACAATCGGCAGACTGGGAACGCCCAGCCAGCTGCCCAGATTCAGTGCCATCGAGTGCAGGACATCGTCGACATGGCCCTGGCTCTGGCTCTGGGCACACACGAGTGCGGCCAGGCCATGGCCACTGGCATGAAGCCACATGTTGTGCGGCTTGCACACATCCCGCAGCCGCTGCAGGTTGTCCACGTAGCCACATAGCGATGCCCCAATGTCGGCCACCACCAGCAGTGGTGTCCTACTGGCCGACAAATCCAACTGGATTTGCTTCTGCAATTGGTTCAGGTCCATGGTGCCGTACTGACTGTGCTCGGGTATGATTTTGATGGCGTCCACTGGGATGCCCAGCTGGCGGCAAGCATACTGAAGCCTCACCGGTGTCGTATTCTCGGAGATGTAGAAGCAGGGCTGGGCCAGGGCCGGAATGCCGCCCTCTAGATAGCCGGGGCATCGGGCGACGATGGCCAGGCGCACGGTGCGAAGAATGGCATCAGCATTATCCGCATGAAAGCTACTGGCCGGATTGTTAAAGTGGAACAGCGTGCCCAGCCAGCGGGTGGCATCGCCGGATATGCTATTGGTCACACGCAGCAGATGCTGCCTGTCCAGATGCGATAGATACGCCACAATGCTGTGAGAGATTAGGGCCAGATGGGAGACATCGTCGAGGGCCGGCAGGGGGAATTCGGGATCATCATCGCTGTCCGTGTAGGACACCAGTTGTTCCAGCGACTTCAGTATGTCTGAGGGCACACGATGCTCAGGACGCAGCTGGGTGAACGGCAGTTGATCCAAATCCTCAGCCTCCGCTTCCGGATCGGGCTCCTCCTCGACATCATTGGCGCTGGCTCCATTCGGGCTGTCGCCACCCGCACCCGCACCCGGCACTGTCTTTACATTCTCCAGTCTCTGCAGGACCTGGGACGATCTCAGCTCCAGCTCGGCCAATCCCGAACGAATCTGCACGACGCATCCATCAATGCAAAACAAGAGAAAAATAACGCAAATGTAAATAAGAACCGATAACAGGGGCCGTCGTCGCCCTGCGTTGACGTGTCTTCCGTCGTCGTCAGCAAATCGAAGAGGCGAGCGGAGAAAAACACACAGAGAGAATCGTGGGGGAAAGAACTACTCACACTGGAGGCGGCTATTTCGGCCACCGCTGGCGTCGATGGGCCTGAGGATGGGGGCTCTTGAGTAGCTGGTAGCGTTGTCGGCTCGTCATCAACTCTACCAGCCGCTGACATGGTTCTGAATCGCTTATTTTACTTATCTCTTTGATGCGATTCTAATTTTTGGTAATTGTTTTCTTCTGCAAGTGTGCTGCTCAGTGTGACCGCGGATTTATCTATAAAATATACCGCCTGACCCTTAGAAATATACCAAAATATACCTTCTATTTTCAAAATATACCGGAAATATACTGATGGACACGACAAGCTGTGTTGATATTCCTCGATTTTGATATTCGGTCTAATATTACTAGCTAGTTAGCCTTCATAGCGCTAAACCAATAATTTTTTCCAATTCATCAATAAATTTTGTACAAGACTGGCTAGTTTTCAGAACTCTTTTTTATTGGATTGTTTACATAATAAAGTTGAAACGCAAATTCATTGTGGCTTCGTTAACTTGGAACTAGCGCATCACCATTTCGATGCATTATCCCACCTATCGAAATTTTGTCAAGCCACCTCTAGTTTTGAGCGAGCGCGCATTTTTTAATTTCACTTTTAACAAGAAATAATTGGATATTGGTGGTGTTTGGCCGCATGCCAATTGCCAGAAGAGAGCAGCTTAATGCGAATTTGAAGTTAGCCAACAGATGTTGTCATGTTTGCATTAAATAAAATGCAACTTTTGGCTGGATTATTTTATGTGAGTCTGGAGTAGAACATGTAATGTCTTTTTTCTTCCCTGTGTTTGCGTTGCATTGCACATTTGCACATTGCACACTGCACACACATACATCGAATATATGTACTCATGTGCATAAGTTTAACTGTGTGAGTGGTTTGCCTGCAGCTTTTCACTTTATTCATGCATAAACTTTCCACAGAAGAAAGTTTCGCGTAGCAAAAAGTTGCCACGGGATTTGCTGCTAACTTGGGCTGGCTGCCCTGCCATCCCATCCCCCCCCACCGCTCCGCTATCCACCTCTTTGGACACATGCAAATAACATATCGATGCTGCTTTTTCAAATAAACCCAAAACCGATCCCCCGCTCTTTGTCCCAAACCGCCCTTTTCGTGGCTTTTGGCCATCGTCGGCGTCGTCTGTTGTCCTAGGGGGGATTTAGTGGCATTGCCGGAACGTGCTGCTGCACATGCATCAATTTGGGGCCAGCACACAGCACAGCTGCAGCTGCACTCTATATATGTATGTAGTACCCCTCCGCTAGAAAGGAAATACCGTTAAAGCCACAAAAACCGGCATCACACAGACAAATATACGCAGATTCACGCACATATGTACATATGTACATACATATATGTACACACATCAAGATGTAACAAAATAATGAATAAAAAAAAACGAGAGAAAAAGCCTAGCTGCGGGTCTGAAGCTTTACACATCCCTATCCTTCCCATTTTTTACATACATACGTATCATCTGATTTTGATAGAATCTATAGTATGTAGCTGTGCCATGAAATTACGGCTTTTGGTTGAATTACCCACCCACCCATTCATTCACATTCGTTTCACTCCGTTTAAATCCCGTTCTGCATGAGTCGTCTCACACGTGTATATTAAATAATTCAATGATATTTATTCGAGTGCTCATTCTAATTTATTCTCACTCATTTATTTTGGGCATGCAGAATTCATATGCCAAATCATATTTGAAAAATCTAAGAGTTTTTAATGACGAAGAATGGCAGAAATAATATCATTCATATGAATGCTAAATAGCTGTACTTATGAAAGTACATATAAACAGATATTGCATAGTTTTAATCATACTAAATCTATACACTGATAGAAAAAAGGAATAGTAAAAATAACTAAAATCATATTTGAATTTTAAATGCCATTTTTAAATACAAACCTAGTCAAATTTAATAGAATTCACGTTGATTCAAATATAAATGTATTAAAAATGCTTTTTTAATACGGTCATATTTAATCTAAATACAAAACACTTCAAAATAACATATAATATATTAAATTTGTAGTTTAATATGTTTCATATTTAAATTGAATATTATTATGACTTGATTTCAAAATTTTTCTTATAAAATCCAAAGGAAAACTTTTTATTTTAAATATTCCATATTAAATGAAATCAAATATTTTTTTGTATTTATTTTAACTATGTTTATATTATATTTTTATTTATGTCCCTCGAATTCCCACTGGTTCCAGCAGCTGCCGCCTTGAATACACAGTTAAATTATCTTAGCGCAGGGGCATAATCACAACCAATGCAGTCCTACTCATGTTTGAAAATGAAACATATTAAATTTGAATATGAAACATATTAAATTTAAATATGAAACATATTAAATTTAAATATGAAACATATTAAATTTAAGTATGAAATATATTAAATTTAAATATTTCTATATTAATATATTCATTTAAGTGAAAAATATTTAATTTTAATACAACCACTCTTGGATGAAAATCAATGGCATAAATATTAAAATCTAAGTGAAAATATTAAAATTTCAGGGCTTTTTTCGATCGGTATACTAATCTTCCAAACAACTTCTGAGCTTTGAGTTGGAGCTACTTTTACTGTCTGTGGACAGCACATATTTATTTGTCTGCGATGCGTATGTATGTGAATCTAGTCAATAAAATAATTCAACTCGTACTCCAACTGCATAAACAGTTGATGCGGGATTTACAAATCATTATTTGACCAAAATGTAGCCCTGCATTTCATTTTCTGTTGATTAAAAAGCCGCAAAATTAAATTTTCGTAACATAAATCGTCTGCCCTCTTGCATTCTACGCATCCCTTCTACCACCACTTTTCCCATCCGCCTATTGCCATATTTTATATAAATTTGCTTTTGCAATTTCGACTGCAAAATACATAATTGCAAAATGTAGGCTGGGGCTGGCATAAATTTCCTTAACATAATTCATTATTTTTATTTATACTTTTTTTTTTGTCTCTCTCTCCCCCTACTTCAGAGCAAGTTTTTATTACATAAATGACGTACACACGCAGTGTTTGGCAGGATGCCTGCACTGAATGAATGGGAGGGAGTCCCTCACTCACAGGTGTAACATGTATGCCAAGGTGCCAAAGCACAAAAAAGCAGAAAAAAAGAACCAACTCAAGGCCAAACCACTTGACTAGAAAGAGATGCCATGAGACAGTCAGACAGGCGGAGATGATGGGGCAAGAGGCAATGGCAATGGCTCGCAGGTGTGTGCGGTTCAGGTGTGCGTGGGAATCACCAGAAGCGACCCCCACGCAGAGGTGCAAAGTAGTTGCCACTTAAAAGGCGCAAAACCAAAACCAAAAAAAAAAAAAAACTTCAAACAAACAGCAGCCAAAAAGCTTTGAAGGGGTTTTCTCTTTGGTGTGGCATCTCTCTGAATGCCAAATGGTTCTGCTTCTGGTTCTGGAGAGGGGCGGCGACCCACTGTACGAGTACATATATGCAGATATGCGCCAGGTATGTTGCTTTGGGCCATTGACAGTAAATCTGTTCAAGTTGACTTGGCAGAAAGTATGCAAACAAAAAAAAAAAAGCCGAGCCCGAAAAAAACTACACACTTGCAGTTTTACACTGAAAAAGAAAGAAAGAAAAAATAAGAAACGCGAATGATTCCAAACATGCACAAACGTGTTAGAAACAAGATACGAGTACGAGTGCGAGCTTGTAGAAGAAGTGGGCCAGGACTGGAGTCGTCTGGATAGCTCACAGATATCAGTCGAATCATCCAGTCGTATCGTTGGAACATTACAAAATATGGAAAAGTTCGCTGCTTTCCCAGACAGGATTGCACTCCGAAGAAAACGCGTGAGAATTTAAAGAATTTCGACTTGTTAGAAGGCAATCTCCTTTGGAGCGTGTTGGAAACGTTGTTGCTCGGGAACTTACCTTTTTTCCAACTCTGTAGTTCAAAACGGACCTCTTTGTTAATTAGTGCTGAGTGCTGAGGGCGTAGGTCAGATGCACACACAAACCATCTAGAAAATTATCGTCTTGGACTGCTTTCTTGTCAACTAAAGATGCAGCAGTCCCGATATGACGTCCAGCAAGCTAAGTCCAGCCACAATATACCCATAAGGATAATTTGCTGCAGTTAGGTTGTACACTGAGTGTACACAGGCTGCGATTAGTAATAGATCGGAAATAATTTCGTCATAATCCATTTTACTATAGTCAGAATTTATGCGCAAAACCTTTGGACAATAGATAAAACTGTAAATTTGTAATGTTCACTGACTAGAAAGCCGAATACAATTAATTAAAATTTGATAGTCTCCGCCCAGGTTATGACAAGTCCCTGACACATTCGACAGACATGCCAAGGAGCACTTATCTATCCGATGATAAAGGTCCTAAATGAATGTTCCATTTTGCGTAACTTATTGGAGGTATTGGATTGGGAAAATTTAATGATTTGTTGTACTTTAGATAAAACCTCTACGATTGCAATGGACCCCGAATAGGCCCAGACCACTGGCAGTGCATTGTCGCATGCTCTTGTCAAAAGCAATGCAGTGTCTAACTAAGGCGATGGTCCAGCGCCTGTCCAGATAACTTCATGTCGGGTAAACTGGTCCCCAAGTCATGTTGTTGCTCCCTCCTGACCACAACATTCCTTTGACCCCTGGCTACGTCACTCTCGAATGCCACTCTCATTGGACTTAATGTCAGACTTAATGTAATTAATGTCAGTTATTACTTCTTCTCATCTCCTTTTCGTCTTCTTAGTTTTCGCTGCAAAAAATTCTTCAAAATTCTTCTTCTTCTTCAAGTTTACATTTTTTGGCATGTTTGCCAGCGAATGGGCCGCATATCTACATAGACATATGGTTGAGATGAATGCATTATACTTTTGGCTATTAATATTTTGAGTACTAAGCTCAAGAATTATTCGTGAATTAATCGTTTAAATATCTTAGAGTGAAAACCTTGTTGTATCTTGACTTTAGCTGCTTATTGGCGGCTCTCGCATTCCCAGTGTTCTATTAAATGTCAAACTGGACTGGTCTCTCCTCGTGTCCTCGTGTGTCTCGCTTTGAACTGGTTTAATCCACTGCAGTTGGGTGAATTTTAAGCAGGCATGTCAGAACGGGTATTATTTTGGCATTCATAGTAAAGTGAGAGGGAGCCTTGTCCCTTGTCCTGTCCCGCTGTC